TTTTAATGGATTTTTTTTCTCCAGTTATATTTCATAAAACTATATGTGCATAATATTGATTAAGTGTCTCTCCAAGTTTCTGGGGATTTAAATAACTGTCGAGTATTATACCTCTGTGGTCGAGGGGTCATATCTATATCCTACAGCTTGCAAGAGCAGTGCTTCTTGTATTGTACTTTTTTAACTACTAAAATTTCATACTAAAGGATGTTTTCGTTATAACAAAAGATTTGACCTATAGGAGAGAACAATTTCCTGAAAAAGTCACATTTAAAAATCAATGTTCTTTAGTTGTTTTCTATCGTATATTTGTATAAATTTTTCAAATTTGCATTTTGAACCTAATTTTTTTTATATGCAACTTTGAAATTAACCTCCAAATTTGGTTAAGACAGTATATTATCCGTTAAAGCACTAATTTTTGCGTAAATTTTGGAATAGAAGTCCTTCAGGGCAGGCCTACCCCTAATTTAAATTATGAAATTTTGATAGATTTTGATCTGAAGAATGATTTAAAACAAGATTTTTTAGGGGCGCCCCTGCCCTAGGGTTGAAATTCGTAAAAAAAAACTACAAAAAGTGCGAAAACCTATTTCTATCATACTGGATTATATTTATGTCAGACGTATGTTCACATAGTCAGTATAGCTCAGAGAGACAGTCCGTAGACTCTCACCATGGACAATTTTAGCGTCCTGGTTCGAATCCACCTGTTGGCACACTTTTATATTTTCAAATTTTTCACCTGTACATAAACCCGAATTTAATTTTTCACACAGGCTTTTTCATTTTACTTCTATTTTCTTCCTTAAATGTATATGTTTGCTGTTGATATAAAAGACATTTATGGAAATGCAGATCAAAAATTCTCTTTAACTAAACGCAATCAACCGGAACTATACCTCAGTGTAAGCACACTTTGTTCAAGGACACGAATCATTCACTTTGTGTTACTCGATACTGCAGATGTCACGAAAAAAAAATCATGCCGAGCAAAAATCGCTGTGTTTGTCTTTCAAGAACATCTCTGTGTAATAGTACTGTTGTGTCATTGGGAGAGATACTGCGCTATGCAGAGTAGATGCAGTTCATTCCTCGGGAAAATTGTGTGCATTGGCGACATGTTATGTCAAAAATGCAGGAGGAAGGTTTACAGATTAGAAAAGAACGTGGTAAGGTCAGTTAAGGTTTTATGTCCCGTTGCCATTAGCCAGGCATCAAGTAAGGACCCTCTTATAAAGAATGTTTCTGTAAATACCGATATAGGATCATATGAAGACAGTTGACTAGAACTAAAACGATACATGAAAAACAAGAAACTACACGCATGTGGCCTAAAGTCAGGGACCGGAACGGATATCGATAAGCTTTTTCTAAAGATTGAAACCAATATCGGCCATATATTTAACTAGAAGTGATCCTTTGAAAAATTTTTGAGCGAAAACACTCATATTTCTATTAAAAAATCAGTCGACTTTTATATAAACTTTTGCAATGTCGATATGATTTAAACATTGATAAAACAGGGGAAAACCTACTCTGAGAGAGAAAGAGGGGAAAATTAGCTCTAGTGTAAGATTCCTGAGTATAGATTTCGGGGATGGGGGGGGGGGCTGGTTATGGGGGAAATCCTACTTTGTACAGCGGTTGTCATAAAAAGTACATGATCATTTAAATGTTTTGATTTCATAATTCCACTTTTCTCGTAGAAAGACACATTTTCTCTATCGTAGAAAAATATATTCCTTCGCAAAATCAAGGTTGTAAATGCTAGGTACATTATCTGATTAAACATATTAGAAAAATATAGAAAGAAAATGACAGAATTCAAAAGGTTTCAATAAAAAAGGCAGGCGGGGAGGTTGGGAAGGGGGTTCCGGACCCCCCTCCCCCCTGGGATTTTCAGTTATAATTTTTTTGCTGTCAAAATCTTCTAGAGTTATATTTTTTTTAATTTATTGGACCCCCCCCCCTCGCAAAATTTCCTGGAACCGCGCATTAACCGATTTTCTGTGCTTTTCTCTGATCTTGGTTGTCAGAAACCAAGGCGCATGCGGGGTTTGATAGAAATAGAAAACTTGAAATGACCTAATGGGAAAAAAAATGAAGGAGAGACGGTTGAAAGAGAAAGCTACTTGATGTGTTTTCTCTTTGCAAGACTGAGCGTACAAAGTGAGAAAAAAGAAATAGAAAGAGGAATCAAGGATATGAATGGGGATATGTATGCCTGTGACAATTTCATAATAAAAATCTGACAATTTATTAAATATTTATAAGATTATAAGATTTTTAGTGTACATCTTAATATTTTCAACGAAGATTCAAAAATTGAAAAGTTTGTGCTCTGTTATTTTATTTAGATTTAAAAAAATAAATAAATAGAATTCACATTAAACAACTAAAATATGCAATTAACGTTTAAAACGTTGTAACAACGTTATGACTTTAATAACGTTATTTTGACGTAACGTCAATGTGTACCAACACCGTGCGCAACGTCTTAATGCATTTTCACTACATACATTGTAATCAATAGAGCCCCGCCCTAACACCAGATCCCCTGACCCAGGGGCAGAGAAACTTATAATATTGGAAGAAGCACCCTTGCACATCATAACCATGCATTTAGTATGTTTGCTAAATACCCAAAGGCAGAGAAGATTTTCAAAGAAATTAAGCATTTTCACTATATATATGTTAAGTATAAGCTAAATACATGTACTTCGGTACTAGCTTAAAAATACGGATATATATTTAATTGCTGTGGTAAAATTAAGAAATTTATTTCAAATTAAGGATTTCTCTCCCTCATGCATAGCTCTGATCCTTCGATGTATTTGGCTCCAGTCTTTTTTTTCGGATTTCCAACATTTCGGCAAGAGCATCACTGAAGAGACATAATTTGTCGAAATGCGCATCTGGTGCATCAAAATTGGTACCATATAAGATTTACATTCACCATAGCCCTAACACAGAAACCCCAACTCAGGGTCTATGAAATTTCGTAATTTGGAAGAGGCAACCTTGCTCATCATTACCATGCAACTAGTTTGTCTGCAGAATACCAAGGGTTGGAGAAGATTTTTAAAAGATTATGCATTTCACCATATGATCTATAGAGCCCACCCTAACACTAGAACCATGGGGCCAAAAAATCACAATTTTGGAAAAAGCACCTTTATTCATCATAGCCATGCACTTAGTTTATCTGCTAAATACCCAAAAGCAGAGAAGATTTTTAAAGAATTAAAGCATTTTCACTGTATAATCCATAGAGCCCTGCCCTAACACCAGAACCCCTGACCCAGGGCTATCAAATTCACTATTTTGGAAGAGGCATCCTTGCTGATCATAACAATGCACATTTTTTTTCTTTATAACCCAGGAGCAGAGAAGAGGATTTTCAAAGAAATAATGCATTTTCACTTTTATCCATAGAGCCCCCTCACACTCAAGAACTCCTGGACCAAGGGATGTGAAATCCACAACTTTGGAAGAGGCATCCTTGCTCATCACAACCAAGCACTTCATCTTTCTCCTTAATACCCAGGAGCAGAGAAGAAGATTTTTAAAGAAACAATGCATTTTCACTATATAATCCATAAAGCCCCCCCCCCCCCCTCCCAGAACAGCTGACTCCATGGCTCTAAATTTCACAATTTTGAAAAAGGCTCCATTGCTCACCATAACCATGCACTTAGTTTATCTGCCATATATAGGAGGAGAAAAGAAGATTTTTGAAGAATTTTTGCATTTTCACTTTATGATCATTAGAGCCCCACCCTAACTCCAGAACCCCTGATCCTTGGGCCATAAATTTCAAAATTTTGGTAGAGAGCTCAATGCTTATAACAACAGTTTAACTGCTTGATGTCTATGAGTAAAAAAGATTTTTAAAGATTGCATTAATTCTAATGGTTTTAGTCCCACCCCTCAGGCCCTGGGTGTGGGGTGGGGTGCAGGGACATTGAAATTTCACAATTTTTGAGCGACTCAGGTGACCTAATAAAAATGGAACTTCATATCTTGTGACTGATCATCTACATTCTGATTCTACACACAATTATTCTGAAGTTGATATTAAAAGATGCTGGCATGGAGCTCCTCATTGACAATATCTTTGAAGTCTTTGAGACCAACAATCAGTTTTAATTTCAATGGGTACTAATATTGCACCTTTATTAGCAAACCTGATATTAAATTCCTACTAAGCAGAATTTATTCAAATACATGTACTTCTATATGAGAAAAAGAAACCTCTTGCTGCAGACTCCATTCAGTACTTAAATATATTGACAACATTTTATCAATGAACAATAGATGTTGATTTGATACATACATATCAGTGAACTAGAATTTAAAGACACCACAGAGTCTGCCACATCTGCTTCATTTCTGGATGCTTTAGTGAACTAACAACTACATGACAAATGGGAAGGTTTCATCTTTTCTTTTCCATCATCAACTTCATCATGTGCATATGGTGTTTATGTCTCCTAACTGGATCAGTATTCATGAACATATTTCTAGTACTATTTTTTTTAAACCAAAGCAGGATACTGGTAAATAAGTTAATATTAGAAAGAGTTTCAACAGATATGATTAAATTCTGTAATTCGCAGTTTCATTCCATTTGTTTGACCATTGTTTTTATACTGACTATAAATTACCGTTTACATGATCATTTACACATTGTTTACCGGTCCACAGGGGATGCTGATTCCTTCTAAGCACCTGATCCCACCTTTTCTATTTCCATGGGTTCATGTTTTGGCCATTCTAGACTTGTACTATTTATAGGATTTCTAGGAATGATCATTATCTTCTACGTTTTTACCAAAGGTGTCATCGCTACTTCCAGCTTGATTGCAGGAACATGGGCATATACATATAGTTGATGCAGATACATATATAAATGATGATGCAGATACATATATAAATGACGATGCAGATACATATGTAAATGATGATGCAGATACATATATAAATGACGATGCAGATACATATGTAAATGACATTTTATTCATAAATGGGGTGTTTTACCAAGTTTATGCTAAATATCAAATCAACAACAAAAACGTCTTAGACAATCTAAATTATAATAATCTTTTAATATGTATCATAAAATGAAATTTTACTGTATTTAATTGTATTAAATGGCTAACTCTCGGAATAACAGATCTTTTAGAATACTAGTAGCTAACAGAACAATCTCTAAAAGATTTTTGTTAGCTACACAGTTCTGTGAGGGAGAAGCACTCCTTTGAGATGTGGAATTGTATAGGATTGTCTGCTTTAGTTAACTATTTTTACAGTCCTATGGTACAGGAACACTCCTTTGAGATGTGGATTGGTAGGATTATCTGCTTTATTTAACTATGTTCTATGGTCCTGTGGTAGAGGAGCACTCCTATAGGATGTGGATCGGTAGGACTGTCTGCTATATAGACTGGGTCCTACAGTCCTATGGTGTAGGAGCGCCCCTTTGGGTTGTGGATTGGTAGAGCTGTTGGTTCCACCATGGTCCACTCATACCAGACATTCTTAGCTGTACAGCTTCTCCAGATGTGAAGGACTACGCGGTCATCCTTCTTCACATAAACGGGGGTCTGAAACATAAATATCTACATCAAACAGTGGCCTTTGATGTAATGCATAAATAATCAAATAGTCCTTGATTAAGGTTACATCAAAATCTATACTGTAGATCACCCAAGAGCAAGAGCCACTCAAGGCCTTTTTCGGCCCTGTGAATTTCTGAAAAATCAAAACTGCATACTTTTCGTTGACAAGGCAATAAATATCACTTGAACCCTTGGTGACTGAATATCTACTAAAAATGAAGTTTTCTTGCTAGTTAATGCATTGTGACGTCATGAATTGCATCATTATTCACAAATCCTGAATATTTCTTCCAAAAAGAAAAGATTATGTTATTTTTCAACATTTTGAATACAGCACAACCTCTGATCCAAAATATGCAAATATATAATGAAAGAACTGCTTCTAAAGATTACAAAACATATTCTATTTTTTGGATCGAGGGGTATGCTCATATTTTAATTCTTTGCTGAAGGTTCTCAAATACAACTGTTTTCTGCAAAATTCAAGAACATTGCAACTTCACACAACCTTTTTTCCAATACCTGGACTCTTTTGTTATACAAACTGAAAGCACTAAGTCTCTACTTTATATTGATGTTGAAAATTGGACAAGGGGTCTTAGTCAATAAACTGGTGTATCTACAGGGCCATTTTATGCATAAAGTGAACCTAGCTCTTTACAGTATTATCATCAATTTAGTTAAAATAAGAAATATAATTCTGCCCCTCTGCTATATGCTTCACTTGTATTGAATTTATTGTATGGACCAGAATTACAAGTCTAATTTTAATTAGATTAAAATCATCTTAGTCTGACAAGGTTAAAGATTCCCACCAGGTTGTTTTTAAATAATTGAAAAACCAAGAAATAATCTTTAAACTTTCAAAAAATATACTGCACAGTTTGGTCAAAGTCCAAAAAAGGAATAATTTTATTTGATCCAGTTAACTCACCTTGATGGGAAACAGAATTGGGAACCAGCTAAACATGCCTGGAGAATGGGTCTCTGGATGTATACCTATAACAAAATATCACTCCCGTAATTATATACTTCTGAATCAGACCTGTATACATCAAGTCTTTACTATCTACACGGTTTCAGTGAATAATAAAAGAGTAGTATTACACTACTGCGAGTATTGGTAGGCAGGCATAACTGTTGACTTCAGGTTTTAACACTTAGGAAAAGTAAAGAAACAGGGATAAATCTCATAAATCATACATTGTATTAATAACACAAAGCAAGATCGAGGCTTACACAATCAATGTCAATTTTGTATGATAGTTACATGCACATTACATTCTTTTATTAGTATTATTATGTGTTGGCCCTTATTTGTATAATAGTGTTTTATCCTGCAAGGTGCCCCATTGTGATGCTCAGATGAATTTAAATATTTGGCCAGTAGCTATATAAGGTGATGTCAGGTTTGTCTTGGGTAGCGCACATTTTCCTTGACCAGTGAGGGTAGTTCCACATTCATGTCCATGGAAGGTTAGACTATAGGTTTATTCATGGTGACTGAATCTCCAGTCAGGGTAAGTACAATTAAATTACATTAATCATATTGGAAAGTAATGCACTGTATTTATATCAATTGAACTTACTCTATTTATATCCAAAAGATTGTCAATGTGTTCAGATCGTATACTAGAAATGTTACCATGTGCACATGCTGTGGAGTTTAAGTGTAAAAGTAATTATACTGGCTCATTGTTATAGTGTACAACTGAATAAAATTTTCACTGTATATCATATCTAAAAGGATAGTGCAATTGGCTATATAGAGATAGTGAAACAATGTGTAATGAAAAAAAATTAAAACTCTCTGACCTAATTTGTATCAAGATTTTGATTCAAGGTCATATCTCAAAGGTCAAGGTCACTAGGCAATGAAATTGTGAATATAGGGTCAGGGTAATAATTCTCCATGAAATGCAATGAATTAAAACTTTTGTTTGATGTGACCATACTGAAGTGTGTCGATGAAATTCAAAGTCGTGTCAACATTAATGTCATGAACAATGTTACTGTTTGAGGGGCATGAGACATCTAGTCAGGTTAACATGTTTGTTCATACCCCTACTTGAAAAATTTTATATGTTTTCACTTACTCAGTTTTACATTATCATAGAGAACAGTGTCAAAGTAACCAGCAAAGCCATGGATGATTGCATCCTGATTAATGTCAAACTCCAGTGAGGCGTAGCGGCTATTGTCAATTACTGCATCTGGAAAAAAAAAGAATATTTATCTCATATAAATAATTCTGAATTCAATGAACTTTTTACCTATTTTAATCCACATCAAAACATTTTTGTGAACACAATGTCTCCAGAAGAAGAAAATTTCCCCTTTCTATGGATATGTACATATATATGATATCTCACTTGTGAAAATTTTCCCTGAGGTAATTTTGACCTCATTTACTTCTGTGTACTGAATGCGTACAAAAATTGGTAAGTTCCTTTCACACTATTGACAACATATCTAGTATAATTGAAATCTCCACTACTGCTAAATCTAGCCCTGTTTATATAAGAGCTTTTTAACTTCATGACATTTTACTATTCAAACTCAGATTGTACAAGTTTGATACCACAGTCATGAAATGTTGAATCATGTCCACTTAATATTGACCAATCCCTACCACTGAACAACCTGTCAAAAAAAGGAAATCTCTCCAAACTAGACCCTCTCCAAACCACCCTATACCCTCTCAGAATTGAATTATTTTAAAAGTTTTATGTTTTCTTGCATAGAAACAATTCCAAAATACTGGCCATCACTGAAAACTAAACAGAGGTAACTTTATTTACATTAAGTGTAAAGGAATATATGATACGTAAGGAAAGGAGAAAATGTAAGGCTGGACCGGGAATTGAACCCAGGATCCCTGCATCACCAGTCAGGTGCTCTACCGACTGAGCTACCCAGGCCAAAATATCCATGGTCCAAACCATTACAGATATATTTACACTTCATAAAACTGATCAAATTTTATTTTTATAAGAAGTGTGAAGCCACATGTTGAAGTTCTTCCTATAAGGTGAGATGCTGCCTTCAGTCACTGTAAGAAGCTCATCAATTCCTTAGTGAGAGGTGTGAAAAATAAGATCAATATTCCTAGCTTACCTATCGTTTTGTAATTGACAAGCGGTCACTGAACACCTGATTCGTGATAGATCTGCTACTTGTATATTTAGTTGCATGTATGAATTGAAGGGCTGTTTTCTAATATATACTTTCAACTAAGAAACAAGATTCCTGTACTTTCAATTAATGCTCATCATCCCTGTGTTGACTCATATAAATATATTTACATCCACTAAATATTAACACTTTTATTTCTTATGAAAACCATGTCAGTAAACACCACTAAGCAAGCCACCTGTATCGATTTCTTGAGCAGTGGCTGTTCCATCAATGAAACATACAATGATGTACATTTCAATAATACAACCCGTGGGTTATGCATTTTTTCTGCAACAGCTGCAACATTAATCCCCATACTAACAAACAAAGAAAGCATTTTATTGTTTAACAAAATCTGCAATTATACCTGGAATGGTAATTAAAATATGGCCCTTCTGTTCTAGAAAATTTTTTAAAAGATTTTATGAAATACGTTCCCATGAAAAAAAAAATCCCTTATTGTAGCCCTACCCCCTTCCAAGATGTCATCATCTGGACAAAGTTGAATCTGAACTATTTGACACTACTTGCATATTAATATAATGACTAAACATGGCTCTACAGTTCTTGAGAAGAAGAAATTTAAACTGATTTACTTTAAATCTACTTTTCTGGACAATCAAATTTAGATGTCAGAAAAGCTGAAATTCACCCTCTGACCCCTACCAGTACGAATTACAAAAATAAAATCATCATGAAATCAACATTTTAAATGGAGAAATTCACTTCTCTGAGCACTCAAATTTAGCTGTTAAATTCTGAAAATTCACCAGCTCAAAGCGGCATCCAAATCCTCGGCCCTTATATGCTTCAACATCAGACACCCCCTTCCTAGGCTTGACTAATTTGACAAATCATGATTGACTTTGCTGTTTTTTTTTAGGTTTTCCCTAGACATTTCAATGTAAAACTTCTAAAGTGGCCACATCCTACTCTTTGGGGCCATGATTTGTATATACATTTCTAATGGAATCTTCACTTCTAAGAAAGCTTTCATAAAAGTTTCATCTTTTCTGACCAAGTTGTTTTCATCGAGATTTTTTCCATTTCACTCTTTCCTACATATCTCCCCTCAAAAGATGACCTGGCTTTTCATTTCAATGAACTTGAATCTCTTTTACCCAAGGATGCTTTGAGGCAAGTTTAATTGGAAATAATCATAATGGTTCTGGAGAAAAAGCTGAAAATGTAAAGATTACAGATGGCAGATACTGGACAATGGACAGATAAATGCCAGACAAATTTCAATCAGAAATGGTTATGTGAGCCTTTGGTTCTGGTGAGCTAAAAACATAGGTTAGCAAAGATTATGAAGCTCAGCTCAACTTATGTTCAATTGCATCTTCTTGGGTCTTTCTAGCAAGCTCTGTAAACACCTCAAATGTATTTCATCACCAATGTTAAAATTTTATACAAAATGGAGTTGCTTCTGATTCTTGAGAAGTTCCGATTAAGGACATACGCAACGTAGTTTGAACTTTATTGTCTTTTCCCCTGGAGTTGAAGAGTTCCAATTTTTAAAGGAACTGTGTGCTACATTTTAATGTCTATATATGCTGTTGTACACTTCTTCTAAAACAAGTTTGGATAAACAAAACATCTAGAATATATGTTTAGTAATTTTTGTATATTTTTCTTTGAATTATACATGAATTTTAATTAATTGATATCTTTTCAAAACCCCTGGTAATGCATGCTGATTTTTTGTCTATGAACATCTGATGGCACTATAATCTTAAAGTAAGAATATCTTGAAAAATTATCAGTAGGTAAGGTACGTTGCGTATGTCCTTAAATGTACGTTATCTATCAGAAAAGAAAATTATCATGCCAAATAAATGTTCTAGTAATCTGCATCCCTAGATGTAACATTCCATACAAGTAAAGTCTGGACAGGACTTGCAGTAACTTGGATATGGACCTATTATGATTATATCTATTATGGGTATGGATTTATGATGATTATATCTATTATGGATATGGACCTATTATGATTATATCTATTATGGGTATGGATTTATTATGATTATATTTATTATGGGTATGGATCTATTATGATTATATCTATTATGGGTATGGATGTATTATGATTATATCTATTATGGGTTTGGACCTATTATGATTATAGCTATTATGCGTATGGCCCTATTATGATTAAATCTATTATCTATCTTTTCAACCATCCACTAAATCTAGGTCAAATTTAACATCTAAAGCAGGTCCAGTAAAATGAATCTTCTATGCTAGTTTCAGGTAGGCCATTACTTACTAATAGCAAGTCTCATTTAAAGTCAACATTTCGTAAATTTTATGGTCGTTATAATGACCTTGTTAGCAAATATAACCTTGCATTGGGTAGTATTTTAGCTGACTTGTTTCATACCAATTGTTAGGCCTTTGTTTTTGCACTGAATTGACTACAGATAGTTCCGTCTACCTGATCAATACATAGGGCTCAAGGTGGGTGTGACTGGTCAACAGGGGATGCTTACTCCTCCTAAGCACCTGATCCCACCTCTGGAGTTTCCAGGGGTCTGTGTTTTATGCCCTCTTCACATATTTGAATTGTTTGTGGGTTTTTTGAGATTTATCACTTTTCGTTATCTTTACCTTTTACATTTGAAATATATGATCCAAAACATTCAACCTATTGAATCAACTGGAAAATGTAGCTCAGATCCAGCATCACAAGCAAATCTGGTAATTCACATTTTTAAGATGCATCATTCATGGAGGTTTAGTAACAATATGGCTTAAAGGTTACTTGTAAGTTCATATTTTGATTTTTTCCCCCTATATTCCTATGTAAAAGTTCTGCCTGTTGTGGCTAGGAAAAAGCAGAAATCAATTCAGTATTGAAAAATTTATATACTAGTACCTAAGTGGTCCCATAATTTGAACAAACTTGAATCTACACTATTTGAGGATGCTTCCACATTTCTTTGACTAATCATGCCTTTAGAAGATTTTTAAATATTTTTTCCAAATACATTTCATCTTCTTTTGTAGCTCAACCCTACCCCAGGGGGTCATGATTTGAACAAATTTGAATTTTCACTACCCGAGGATGATTCCAAATAAGTTTCATCTTTTTCTTGCCCAGTGGTTCTTGAGAAGATGTTTAATTTTCACTTATTTATAATTACCGCCCCCTGGAAGAAGGTGGGGCCCTTTATTTAAATAAACATGAATCCCTTTTACACAGGATACTTTGTGGCAAGTTTGATTGAAATTGTCCCAGTGGTTCTGGAGAAAAAGTCCAAAATGTGAAAAATTTACAGACAGACAGACACCGGAACAAATGTTATCAAAAAAAGCTCACTTGAGCCTTTGGCTTAATGAGCTAAAAATTTGATGATTATCTGTTAAAAACTCAAGAAAGGTTTGAAAGTTTTCGAATTGTAGATGGCAAGGCTCAAATTCACTTTATTTGTATTATGACATTTATCATGTAAATAGTAAAGATATTGTTAATATTTTGGTTATTGAACTTTAGAATTAAATATTCAGAATCATAACTGCCTTACAGACATGTTGTGATAATTTAACAATGTTCTAAATGTGTAACCATGGATACCCATCATTACAAAATTTTTACATTAATCAAAACATTTTGATTCATTAGTTAAAGGAAGCATTTTTGTCTGAGGGTCAATATCATATTAATTCTCCGCTCCTCTATTGGTGTCTAACTTCCCACTCTATTGAAAACCTACCTCTGTTTTGGTGTCTAACTTCCCACTACATTAAATACCTACCCCTATTTGGGTGTCTGAATTTGAAGACTTCTTGTGGAGGGGCTAACTCCTTACAATTGTGAAGTCTAACAACATATGGTGTCTCAAAGTTGTGCTGAAAAAATAAAACAAATCTAAACAAGCTAATTCAGAGAATATGTGTCTCCTGCTTAGGGAAAAAAAGGGTGAGAGAACTGGAGAAAGTATGCAGATGTAGAAAGATAAAAAGGTCAACCTTGATCTTTTGGTCTCAAAGTCAATAGGGTGTCTTTTTGAGTTTAAGAAATTGATGACCTAAAGTACTGTAGATTCCTTATTTTTTGTGAGTACTTATTATCGCGAAATGGCTCTTTAACGTCAAATCGCAAGAATAATAATTTGCGAAGGGATGGTTGATCAAGTGATTTAACATGGATTTCAGCATCATAAAAATAAAAACGAGTAATTTTATTTCACGAGTGGTGCTTCTCACGAAATTACGTGATAATAAATTCCTCGCGTATAATTAGGAATCTACAGTAATAATCTGAAAACTATGTATTCAATATTAAAATTTCTGATCTGCTTTGTAGGTTCATTAGTGGCTATGCATGATTTTATGAATTTTACGAAATCTAAATCTTTCATACAGGGATATTTTTCACAAAGAATGAACTGCTTGGTCTTTGACCTTCTGACTCAAAATCAGTAGGGGTCTTTATTAGTCATATTGATGAAAGGTGTAAAATTTCATGTCAAAACCTCCATGAGAACTAGAGTCATCACCAGGGAACCATGTTAGGCAAGATGTGAATTTTAGACTTTGACCCTTTGCCCTAAGAATCAAAAGGGGGTTTCTTTAAGTCAAAGTCAAGTTCAGAAAACTTTGATTATTTAACTACTCTCACCTGGAGATGTATGCATCATATTATGAATTTGTTGAAACTATCTTGAAACCATTTTTTTAAATTGAGCTTAACACAAAATGGAAAAAAACAAGCTCAAGGTTCAAACAGGGGAGGATATTGCCAGAAAAATTATACAGTCAAACCTCGTTATCTCAAACTATGGGACCGAGAAAAAAGTTTGAGATATCCAAGAATTCGAGATATCAAGGGTAAAATTCTTAAAGAATAGGTACAGTATTTGGCTGAATATAATACACATTGGTGTAAAATACACACACCCCTTTTTGGGCTTGAAAATTTGGGAAAAAACACAGTTCGGTTGTATTATACGCAGTAAAAAAAATATGACCAAGCAGTAATCCTGACTTTTTTTGCATCAAGGTAATTTTTCTTTAAAATCTTTGTGGAAATAATGCATTAAAAATTTAAGCACGATAACTTTTCATACGCAGATTTCATTTTTTGAGCTTATGATACTCCTGATTTTATGCATGGTGGTACTCTTTACAGAAAAAATTAAAATTTTCCATAAAACATAATTTTTTAAGCTACTGCAGTGTTGACTTTAAAATATAAAGTATAATTTTATTTTAACAAAGCACAAGATATTATTCCATTATATCTATAACAGGCTAAATATATACTGAAACGCAAAAGAAATGCAACATCATATTTTAGGGGGAAATATTACATATAGGATATAATTTTATATCTAAAAAGTAAGGACATCTTCAACTTCGTAAATATCGTTAATTTAACGGTTGAATGATTTTCATACCATTACCGGAAGTTAAGTTTGAGTCTGCTTAACAGAAATCAAAAATTGCATGTTTAACAAAACATTTGGCAATAATATGAGGTTTTAAGGATTTGTATCTGTTCATCATAAGTAATGCAGCAATGTTCTGAAAAATAAATTCCCCTTTCTTTTCCGTAAGCGATGCCAAGGCTTCCTGAAAATGACTTAAGTACGCATTTCCATTGCTCTAGCTGGAAAATCTCAAAAAAAGGTGATGGAGAGTTGCAGATGCAAATATGACCCACATCACCCCTCAACAGGCTCTTACATATCATTAGCATGAATGACAGTCCTTGGACTGGAAGTCCAAGGGTTACTACACTGCACTTGGCTAGAGAAAATTCGACCTCATCATCTGAAAAATGGGCATTTAAAAATGGCAAAGAATATTTCTTTTGCTCAGATTTCGAGATTGACCTATTGCATAGTAGAAATCAAGCTGCAACTGTTGTACATGGCAGTCTTGCACGCTTTAATTGAATGGCTGGGGTGGGGGTGTTTTAACAGTCATATGTTACTTTTTAAAATTAAAAGATGATCATTTAACATTTTTATCAAATCTCTGATGTTTTCAAATCAAGTTTTACCTTAGTGTATTTATTTTTGAAAATCATTACCGGTAAATAAAAAATTCAAATATTTGTAGATTACTGCTTGTTGCGTTTCTTTTGCGTTTCAGTATATATTATTAAGCTAACGAACATCGTGAACATAAACATCACGGTAATCTTCGTGTGTAAATGATTTTATTTAACAAAGCAGGAGATATTATTGCATTAATTTTTTCTTTTTAACTAACAACAATCTTGACATTACACGTTGGCTATATCCTCGCAGAAATAATTATATTTCAACAAAGCACAAGATACTTTTGAATTTCAATTTAAACAGATCAACTTAAATCTTCATTTATAGCAATCGTACTTTTGCAGATACATGTATCTTATTTTCTACAGAGCACAAGTAATTATAGCACTAAAGTTTTAACAAACTTGATATTTCCTTTTTAAACTCTCAATTAATATAACAAGACGCCGATAAATATAAAATAAAATTACATTTAACAAGCGTTTAATGTGTCGTAATCAACACACTTCTATACATACAAAAAATAATTACGAAGGCTATATTGACCCCTCAATTATAACAATGAAAAAAATCAAAGCCATTAATAAGGGCAGTAAATAATCAGTGCTCTAACTGTAAAAACATTACCTTGGAATTGATAGACAATTTATTTGCCTGGATGGGTGTTGAGATAATCATTAGGTGACAAGTGCACATGGTCACAACAATGCCTTCAATTGGGACGCACAGAGGGGTGTTTATGTTGAAATGAATTTTCACAGTTATTTAAAGCCCAAAATAAATTTGTGTTTTAATGTATTTCATTATAAAACTCCTTGTTATTTATTTTTATTCGAGTGTCTGACTGATTAGGTACATGTGTACTATGATTATGCAAGCACATGGCAAAGGAATGTGAAAACGTCTATCAATAATATCGTTAATGGCGGCATACATGGAGACGATGAATATGCAACTGAAATTAATTTTAACTTGCTTTTCAATATCATTTAACTATCAACAGATTATAAATATAACATTTTCAACAAGTTTACATTCCAACAATAATTTTCTGATGTTTTAAATATAGCTGTAAACAACAAGACATTGGCTATGTCTCTAGGAAATACTACGGTATGTCCGTATGATAGCTGTGTTTCACCTGAAAGAAAAACCCATCAAAATCCTATTGTGGTGTAAAATACGCACTCATTTCTCACAAAAAAATATACTAGGAAAAAGTGCATATTATATTCGGCCGAATACGGTAGTTGGGACTTCCAAATCACTTCAAGATATCAATGGTATTCGAGATATCAGTGTTCGAGATACCAAAGTTCAACTGTATTTTGATTCAATGCAATATTTAGTGGCAAAATTAGGGTAGACTAATTAGCTATGAACTTTATTCATTAATTAAAAACAAATTTCCCTTTCGGTTCTGATAATCTAATATTAGAGATTGCTGTCCAATGGTTGTGTACTTCCATGCTGCTAAAGAGATATAGGATTGTTATTTGCCTCAAAGATGTGTTGTATAAGTGTGGTGCTTATTTTGTTGATTTGAGGTACTGCAAGTCAGAGAACTCCACTTGCATTTCAAACCGCTTGCAGGCAGCAATTTAAAACACATTTCAATATTTTTATTTGAAATGAATATTGGTTTTAACAATATTGGCATTGGAAAATGAAGGTGTTACTTTCAGTTGAAAAATGAAATGGAAATTAAATAATCTGTGTGTGTGTGTATATATATATAAATGCACTGGGATACTCACATCAATAGGTTTGCTAGAACTGGTGTTGTCTTTACACACTCTGACTTCATTGTACAGTTTCTCTGACATAAGCGGTGACATGTAAGATGTATATTCGCATGGTATACTGATGCCGTCATCTAAAAAATTGTCGCTTGTTAATATCAGCAGCAGAATTTACTTTTCCTCTCCATCTTGTAATAACACCTCATTAATACTTTGACATAGGACTGAAGAATACAAGCAATGAAGTGACATAGACAATTGACATCATTAATATATGCTCTAAACCAGAGGTCTCTGATGAGACTGTAGCTCTACTGGTTTTTTAATTAACAAAAGTAAAGAAAGGCAGCAGGCTTACAGTAATATTATAATATGATTCAACTTTAAATAATGCTATTCAAACAAAGTTAAGTCATAAAATACCGTATTAACAATATCTAATAAAAACGTCTATCTATTAGCATTTATGAAAAGGGGAATAACTCAGTTTTCTTTTTCAACTTGGATAAATAGAAAATTGAGTTATTTCCTTTTTCAATATGTCAATAAAATTGATTAATGCGGCAGTGTTTGACCTGATGCGGCGGTGCCTGAGAAACTATTGATTAATTTGTTTCGCCTTACATATTTCGAAGAATAAAACCACAAATAAGACATGCGCTATATCATCTTTGTGATAGTAAGCTACATCACAATTGATGGTGCACAAAATGTACATTCAAGCCCCCCAAATTACACCAAAAATGTTCATTTTAAGATCAATTTGAAATGATAAATCTACAAAATTTTACTAAATGAATCAGTTATAGTTAAATAATTTTAAAAAAGTTCAGCATACTGAAGGATTAAGTACAGGCCCATAGAACATGACCACCCCACCCATCCCTTTTTCTGAGTATTTTCTTTTGCTGTAGCTTTAATATGTAAATTTTCATTTAGATACTGCCCCCCCCCCCCAATTTTTGAAGCTGTAAGGTCATTCACTGGTAAATTCCAGTATTTGAAAAAGATTTTTAATTGGGAGCATTCAATTAATGGATGTAAGTATCCTTATTTTTTTTTTATTTGTAGCATCATTCAATTAATAATGAAGTCTACTTTGCATTAAAAAAAACTTTAAGGCCTAAAAAAATTAATAACTTGGTTCTCAGGCCCGCCCCCATCTCATTCAATAATGTGCATTACCCATTTTTACCCTCAAATGAATAAAATAAAATTTCTCTCATGCGCTCGTGCGGTGCCAAAACCTCCCTGAATTTCTGACCACAATTTCACTGCATTTTAGAAATCAGTAAAATGTTTGACAAACATCAAGATGATCCAGACTATTGACCTAGTTAAAAATCGCAAATATGGCCGTTGAGTTAACAGGATAAGGCGTCAAGATTAAGTTTAGTCATGATGGCATTGATATTCATTAGGGAATGACTGTAATACTTCCATGGTACAAAGTGGGGGTTTCTGAAGGTTTTCCATGCTAGAATTCGGATCAATAAAGCTATCAAAGACCCGGGTCCCTCAACCTCGGAACTTGGATGTCGGCGAGATTCGCATATTTCATCAAGTGTGGGTAAACCCAAGACTGATAAATTTGACAATGTTTAATAAAATCATAAGTGCTATTTATAGTGCTGAAACACTCTTAGATTAGTTGTATTACGAAAGCAATTGACCAGATGCATCACTAAAAGTGTTGGGTTCTGTAAGTTTAACACGTGTGGTTTTTAGGATGCCGTCGTTTCACTACATGAATTGGAATGTAGAAAATGCAAGAGAAAAGAGAAAGAAGCAGGAAATGAATTATCTTGATTCTCAATGTTGAAGCACTGTTGATTAAAAGTTGCTAGTTTTGAAATTATAAAAAAAAAAAATAAAAAATCCTGCGTCCGTTTTTCATGAGATAAAAAGGAAAAAAAAAGCCTCCATCCAGCATTTATTTTTGAGAAAACTGGCCTGAGAACCAAGTTATTAATTTTTTTTCGCCTAATAGCAAAATTGCCACATGTTGAATTATGCATCTGAAAATGTACACAGGAATTGAGAGTTAGCATTCACAGTTCTTATGTTCAGAAAATTAACAATGAAAGCAAACCTGAAAGCTAACTTAATGCGATACCTTGTAAAAATCTTTGTGCTCCATCCAGACATTCCGGGGAGAGTTCATTATCTCCAAACGACCCAAGCAATTCACTGACCAAGATGTCTGCCTTCTCTGGAGCCTCCCAGAGCCTCATGTCACATGACACCACCTCCACGAGGTCCCCCCACATCTCATCCTTCATGTTCTCTAACCTTGAAGAAAAAAAAAAACAAAATTTTTTTTTTAAAAATTTAAAAAAAGAAAAATTCATTAACAATTCACAGGACTTGCTTTCACCAATCGTCTGAAAATCAATGTGAAACTTAAATTGACTACATATTCAAAATTACAAGGAAATATTGACATTTAGCTTAAATATAACATAGATTAATTTCTTAAGAAATTAATAGTTCCCCACATTTAATGGTACATGTACATGTATTATGCCTTTTTAATTCATGTTCAGCAAATCCCTGTCCTGTCAGCAGCTTTTCTGCTAATAATTCAGAAGTATAAATATTGTAGGATTGCATTAATTTTGGAGGAGACCCCTCAAGTCCTCCAGAGTGGGATCATGATATTCACATTGCTGTTTCTTTTGTATCATACATGCTATGTACTAAAGTTGGTAAAAAGCAGTTCAGTGGTTTTAGAAATTTAAGATGATCAAAAGTTATTATTTGTGTGAAAGTATTTTTGGGTCATACGAAATATTCAGTCATGTATACCCAATGTACACAAGACTAAAAAAAATTTTGTCAGATCCCAAACTCACCATATGGCATGCCTAAACAAAAAGTGTGCTAAAAATTCAAGCATCTGCCTAGAGTAGTTGCTAAGAAGTGTGTGACGGAAATTTAGTATGGACAGACGCAAGGATAAACAGGAAGTTGATATCCAATTCTAACAAAAATGAATCCCACCATATGACTTGCCTAAACAAACAGTATGCTAAAATTTCAAAAGCATCTGCCTTGAGTAGTTGCTGAGAAATCTGTGATGAAAATTTGTTAAGAACAGACCGACAAAAAAGTATACCCCTTCTCCTTTGGAGCGGGGGTATAAAAAGGAAACAATTATTGATAATGCAGAATGAATGGAAGTGGGATTGGTGATTAATATATTCAATGAATGCTATTCCCTATATTCATACTAATTTAATCACATCTACTTACAAACTTGAAGTGAAATGATATTTCTCATAAGAATAAGCATTTATATGACTTATCACAATAATAAAATTTAAAACCGTACATAGGACATTCTGAACTGGTGTTAAGATTGACACATCTGACACTGTGCATCAGGTCACATGGTCTGATGCTTTTCACAAAGACTGGATCAAAAATAGCAATAGTCCAGATGATATACAACTAAAAGTTGTTTCTTACCCAAACATTGGAAGTACTTTTCTAAACAGTTCTGTGTATATTGTGTCTCCTATAAGCTTAAATTTAATAACATTAATTGTTATGGTACTTACGTTACCACAGCATTGGGGTTTTTCTCCACGGCATAGACCTTCCTGATTTTTCTGTCTGCTTGATGTGATGCTGCTATTGAAGCCCTCACAAGGGGTCCCCTACCTGCCCCAACCACCATCAAAACACTACAAAGGAAGTATGCTATCAAAACACTACAAAGGAAGTATGCTATCAAAATACTACAAAGGAAGGAAGAAGTATGCTATCAAAACACTACAAAGGAAGGAAGAAGTATGCTATCAAATCACTACAAAGGAAGGAAGAAGTATGCTATCAAAACACTACAAAGGAAGGAAGAAGTATGCTATCAAATCACTACAAAGGAAGGAAGAAGTATGCTATCAAAACACTACAAAGGAAGTATGCTATCAAAACACTACAAAGGAAGGAAGAAGTATACTATCAAAACACTACAAAGGAAGTATGCTATCAAAACACTACAAAGGAAGGAAGAAGTATACTATCAAACACTACAAAGGAAGTAAGCAGTATGCTATCAAAACACTACAAAGGAAGGAAGAGGTATACTATCAAAACAGCATAGAGGAAGAAAATACAAACATTAACAGTCTATCAAAATTATCAAAAGGAAGGAATTCAGTCATTCTATCAAAACACTACAAAGGAAGGAATTCAGTCATTTTATCAAAACACAAAATGATGAAATTCAGTCATTTTATCAAAACACAAAAGGAAGAAATTCAGTCATCAAAACACCACAAAGGAAAAAATTCAGTCATTCTTTCAAAACACCACAAAGGAAGGAAGAGTTTAGGAATTCTATCAAAACACTACAAAGGAAGGAAGAGTTTAGGAATTCTATCAAAACACTACAAAGGAATAAAGAGTTCAGGCATTCTATCAAAACACTAGAAAGGAAGGAAGAGTTAAGAATTTTATCAAAACACTACAAGGATAAAAAGAGTCAATACTTACAATTACTTATTACAGTTTAACTTGTAAAGTTTTACATTTCTTACCATCTCTGATATAATGAATTAATGGATATAGTGAACTGAATTTTGTGTACCATAGAGGGAAAAAATAATGAAATTTTCATCTTTTATAACAAATTTTAATGATCTAAAAAATTCAAATATTGAGCTGAAATATTAATATTTCATATGAAAACTGAAGTATTCTAAAGTAAATGTTTATCTAACACTTCCCTGTATATATTTGGTAGTCAAACTTGAAGGAAAGCATGTATATTGTAAATTCGCTAAAATTACTTTGACAAATTTATTATACAGATAAAGTAAATACCAGATATAGCAAAATAAATTCACAGGTCCACAGGATTTCATTTTAACTGAGTTTTAATGTACAACAGCATTACCCCAAATACAAAGTTTACTGTAGTTAATATTTACTTTTACTAATTACCCTAAAATTACCCTGAATACAGAGCTTACCAAAGTTAATACTTATAACTATTTATGACTGTAAAATTATCCTAAATACAAAGCTTACCAAAGTTAATACTTACACACTCTTTGTTTCTTTTTCCTCAGGTTTGATTTTACCAAGAAGGGCATAATACACTGCCTTCAATAAAAGAAATATTGTTCATATCCAGTATTTACTTTATCAAATTTTTTTCATTAAGAATAATATTGCAATCTTTTGAAATTTACATTATCTATTAAACTCAGTGCTGAGTAGCTGCATAATTTTTTGACTTTATATATTCTTCTTAAAGTTGTCATAGTAAAAACATATGGCTTTCGTTTAATGCAATGTTATCAATTTTTAATAGAGCTGTGCAGTACACTGAACCTTCGGTGCATCGCGGTTCATACTATTTGATTCGGTACCTTCTGGTACTGGGAATACTTGACTGGATCCTTCTCAAATATTTCATATGTTTGCGACTCTAAGTTGTCCATCAGTGGCTGTCAATAAAAAGTTGTTCAAAATAAACAGAGACTTTGTATCAATTCAGTAGGTTTGTATTGGTTGAATGTAAAGAATTGTTATGAAGACTTTGTTATATATCAGTAGGTTTGTATCGGTTGAATGTAAAGGATTGTTATGAAGACTTTGTTACATATCAGTAGGTTTGTATTGGTTGAATGTAAAGAATTGTTATGGAGATTTTGTTACATATCAGTAGGTTTGTATTGTTTCAATGTAAAGGATTGTTCTATTTTACCTGTAAAGGGCTCTGTAGATAATCCTCATATCCCTTGGCAAACTGGGTTATTGGGTCAGGTGGGGACCGCGTCTATCAGAACAAAGTTTACAAATTTCAGTAATAATCTAAAAGCAGTCCATGATTACTACATGTAAATTGATATCATCACACACAAGCTAGCTGGGTGACTTTTTGGTGATATGATAGATATAGTTAAGCTATGTTATGGAACTTTTTTTTACCTGCCATAGATGATCTAGGTACTGTATATTATAGTAATGTTATTTGCCTCAAAATATCCAGGTGTTTTTGTATATCATAGTGTCTGTCACTTGCCATAGGTGATATAGGAACTATTTTATATTATAGTGTTTTTTACCTTCACAGGTGCTCTAGGTACTGATGTACATTGCAGTGTCTGTTACTTGCCACAGGTGCTCTAAGTACAGTTGCATATTATACTCATTTGTTACCTGCCACATGTGATCTAGGTACATGTACTGTTACTGTTATATATAACAGTTTGTTACTTGCCACTAGTGATCTAGGTACTGATGTACATTATACTCATTTGTTACCTGCAACATGTGATCTAAGTACATGTACTGTTGTATATTACAGAGTTTGTTACTTGTTGTATATTACAATGTCTGCTGCCTGCCACAGGCGATCTAAGTACTGTTGTATATTACCGAGTTAACTGTTATCAGTGACCTAAGTACTGTTGTATATTATAGTGTTGTTTTATCTGTCACAGGTGTTCTAGGAACTGTTTTATATTATACTCATTTGTTACCTGCCACAGGTGATCTAGATACTGTTGTATACCATAGTGTCTGTTACCTGCCACAGGTGATCTAAGTACTGTTGTATATTACAGAGGTTGTTACCTGCCACAGATGATCTAAGTAGTTGTATACTATACTCATTTGTTACCTGCCACAGGTGATCTAGGTATTGTTGGTAGGTGTGGAGACCTTTGTCTGGGTGTCTGTCTGCACCACTCAAAATGATCTGAATTTCCAGCTACAGATAAAAAAACCTAAGTTACAATGATGATTTCCTTATTTTTACTAAACTTTACTTCTAAAGTACTAATGGGAAAAAAAGCTTGCAACATTCCTCAAGAGAATTATAAAATAAATACACCTGTCCATCTTCACCATACCTTGAATAGTTTTTTAAGGAAATTTTGATGTGGTTTTGATAACACAGGATATCCCCTCTTATTGGTCAGAAAGAGACTGGTAGATACAACAGCGCATTTGATTGGTTCAGCTAACCATCTCTCTAGTACTTCCTCTGAAGGCAGATTGGCTGAAACCTCTAACACAATATTAATTCTTCTGTGAGAGTCGCACAAAGTCCTGAACTCATGCCACCTGCAAGAAAAACGGAAAGTCTGACAGCAAAAGTTTTTAGCAGCATGATAGATTTAACTACATGTATTTTTACATTGCTAAGATCTTATTCTTTTGTAAACATGTTGTATCCAATAAATAATCTTCTGTGTTAATACACTGAGTTCTCATGTGGTTACTATACATGTAATTTATATAAAATGCCCTTAAAAGAATTACAAGAGAGTCCTATGGGGATCAATATAGAAAAGAACTACCATTTTTATTCCATATCTCTTCAGTTCCAATTCTCATCTAATCTTCACTAACATTTCTATTCCATTTCCTCCTTACCATTTCTATTCCATTTCTCTATTATCATTTCTATTCCGTTTCCTCCTTACCATTTCTATTGTTTATTCCTTACCATTTCTATTCCGTTTCCTCCTTACCATTTCTATTGTTTACTCCTTACCATTTCTATTCCATTTCCTCCTTACCATTTCTATTCCATTTCTTCCTTATCACCTTATATTTTTTTCTGCTTACCATTTCCAGGTGTCATCCTGTGGTTCTTTTTCCTCCTCAAACTGTCCTTCTGTCAGATTCTCCACCTGATCACGGGCAGACACTAATGGGATCTGTATCCAGTATTGCTGCAACAAGTAACTCTGATTAAATATGCATATTTATACATTATTAGTGTAATGGAAAGGGAGATAATGCAATGGATACAAATTTGAATCCAATGAATTTAACTCTGTGCAGTTACTCTACCTACTGAGCCATTTGACCAAGTTAAAATACCTACTCATGTACCTGACAAAACATGACTACTCTCAACTGGATATGCACCAAATGTGATAGCAGCAATTCACATGTTTACTGCATCTATTGATAGGTGATATTCATACCTGCTGGAAATAAGCAGCTTGAAGCTGTTCACTCAAACATCGGGCCAGGTTAGCATTCCGACCATGCTTCAGTTGGATCAAGATGGCTGGAAGCCCAAGATGGCTGGCAAAGGCTAGCTCCTGCTTGAATCCCTAAATTTACACAAGATATTCTGTATAACTCAAGTAAGTCAGAATTCATTTTACATTTAGACTGTTTTTCAGGCTGTTAATTTATCATGAAAAATCAGTGATCCAATAATAATGATAGTAAATAATACACCCAAGGGAAAATATGAGCCCAAGAAAAAAAAGACTTTCACAGTAATTATAAATGAATTTATCATGTTTATTAACAATCAAAGTATTTAGAAAGATGAAAATTTGTTATGTCTAGTGACAAACAGTGATAATAAAATTTTAAAATTCTAAAGAAAAAAATTGAAGAAGCTAAATACAGCATATCAATATATGCACAGAGATTATTTCTATTTTCATTGTAAACTGCAGTTCTTACTGCTTCCGAGTTCTTGCGGATGACTTCCACTCTCGAGTCCAGTTGTAACCATGGTGATGTTTTTCCAACAATCAATGTACTCCAGTCTAAGAAATAATAAAGAAATCCTATGGAAAAGTGAACTGTCTATATAGGCAGTTATTAGGCAGTTCTTTAGCAGTTTTGCAAATTTTAAGCAGTTTTCAAACAGTTTCAGGCAGCTTGGCTTTTTCTGTTCTTTTGTGACTGCTAGTGCCTTTGGAGTAAACAGTTTTCATTGGCAGTTTTTAAGCAGTAATCAGTTTCCCTGTTTATTTTTATTTTTTTTAGTCGACTGTATAAAATATGGAATTTTATTTTTATTTTTATTTATCCCCCCCAACCCAATTTTTCAAAAAAAATTTTAAATCATTTAATAAAAAATGTTGGCCTAGATCCCGAATTCTCATTGGTTGCCCCAAAATAAAATCGAGCAAGGTCAGTAAACAATGGCGGATAAATTCAAGTTGTGATGTTGACATACACAAAAAATAACCGATATACGTATTGTTCTGCATATTTTTGGATTGATTCATGTCTTCCATAACTACATTTTATGAGTTCAGGTATGCACCATTACGGAGATCCTAAGGAGTTGTCGCCCTCTCCCCCTCCCCCCCCAAAAAATCGGAGAAGACTACATTATTGCAGCTAACTACCCCTTAGTGCAGCTGACTGCCCTACCAACCCTCCATAGTGATCAGAGCCCTGACCATTCAAGTTAGTGACCCAAGCTACAGACCCAGAACAGGTGGGCCCATCCTGGGAAGCACTTGGTAATCAGCTCCCCCCTTCCCCCCCTACACAAATGAACCCAAAGTAATTGTACTCGACAGACCAGAACCTAAACTCTCATAACAGGTCGATGATAGGGAATGACCTTGAGACAATGACACCCCCTGTCCCCCCGTTGGAACAGGTACAGACTGGGTGCAGTCACTGGTATATTCCCAGGCTGGCCATGTCCAGATAGTGAGCTAGGGACCCAATGACTGCCCAGGCTATGAGTCACTGCTGGATGACTGATCTTGACTTCCTGCATGGGTGGGGGTGCTTGTGTATTACTGACTTCTAATACCCCTGTGAGTAATATCACTTAACTGGGTTCCCATACTTTTTTTAAAGAGCCTACATCTTGTCCTAAATGCCCCACCTGTGATGATACCCTAGTCTCAATGGTGTTAATATCCCCCAGCTGTGTATCAACCCTGCAGTTAACCTGACCTAACTCTCCTTGTACCTTATCAACAACCCCCTCCAGAATTGTCTGTCTCTATTGGAGAAGCGCGTAAAAATCCTGCAAACCAGGTGTGTTCCCTTGACCATCGGAAATAGTTGCCTGGGTGACATCTCCTCGCCCCCATGATGGGTGACATTATCTGCAGCACCCTCCCCCTGGGTCATCGGTGTACTAAATACACTCAGCGCAAACCGTACACTTCTATTAGGCTGGACTTTCCTTGGGCTGCACTCTAATGATGTACTCCCCAGACCCTCACTGCCATTTCCCCTTACCCGAGCGTACCAGCCCCTCTCATGTCTCAAACTCCCCCTATCCAGACCAAAGGAACTAAACTCCCTGTCCATGACACCCTAACGCAAGATAAATGAAATTAATACACATAAAAATATCTCGCTGCTACTCTGCTTATGATATACACACAGAAAAAATAAATACAAATGAACTTAACTAATAAAATAACTTTACATTACATGAGAAATCTAAAAATCCAAGATGGCATCGACACAAGCGAACACGTGCCAGACTGGCAACCCGCTGCCCCTAAGAAAACCGAGTCAACAGCTCCAATATAGTATTTCTCTATAATATTACATGACAGTGCTGTGAGGCGGACAGAAAAACTTTATGATGTAAATAAATTCCGCACTTTATTTATCTATACCATTGCCTCGATTACAATACAGATAAGACTTACAAAATACGTGTCTGACACCGTCAGCATTCAGCACAGAAAGAGAGCGAGTATGGGTGCATGGTGTATACTAGTACCACGTTATTAGAGGTAGCAAGGCAATCCGTGCCCAGCATCTCTAGGACTAATTAGAATAATCTGTGTCTCAGGACAAGCCCTCACCACAGTTAGAATACGTCCCATATACTTACAATGTAGCAAATCGAAGCAGATCCACTTCGAAATGATTTTGAAGAATACAAGAGGATCTGCATTGAAAATGACTACCAAATTATTCATAAGAATCCTTTTTGAGATTGTATATGCCTTTTAACCTAAAAATTAATCCATATAAATATGAAAATTCAACTCATTTTCTCAACGTTTTTTCCTCACTTTAAAGGATGATGTGCCAAAACTACTTTCTGCGGCCCCTTTTCTACCACAAATTATATTTATTCTACAACGATTTTTATAGTTTTGAAACAAAAGTGAATAAATACGACATCTTTTGAATCGTTTCAATAGTTCCGACACATTTTAATTACGAGGATTAGTGCATTATCTATGATTTTTAGACCCCATGAGCGCAAAATCCGGCCTGGTTTGTGACAATGAGATCTTTTATGAAAAGAAAATAGGCGGGTCTTAGTACAATAGAGGGGTATGCATGTCCGAGGAATCTACCTTATATGGCTATTGTTATTATTTCGCACATAGTCGCTTACCGAGAACAACTGTCCAATCCGATGACTGAACGACAAAACATGCTGGTTTACATGATTACATTTTATCACAGACACGTGGCTTATGTCAATTTACACACTATCTCTACTACATTTCAAACTTTTAATGGTCAGCAAAGACTTTTTATACATGATAATACGTATGGAACATCAGTGTTTAATACCGTTTTGGGTCGAGAAATTCATAATGAAACGTGTATTCACTGATTCTCGGGAAACCAATTGCCTAACGATGCTTTACAAAACTATGAAATAATACAATGTATATTTATATATATAGTTTGTAATTATGAGCAGGGAAATTGTAGATCCATGTCTAATCTGTGACTCAAATGCATAAAAAATGTTTATCAGAAAACAAGAAAAAATATTCCTTTTTCCAAAGCATTAAATTTCCTTGGTATTTTTGTAGTACTCACTCGTAATGCAACTCGTTTAGCTGACTAGTCGGTTAGAAAGTCATGCCGGTGCCTCGATTAGCATATGAATTTATTCTTATGTCAGAAAAAAATGTTTCGTCGATCTGTTCGTAATGGGATGACCAGCCAGATTTTACAATGTTTTAAACACAACATTTGAGCGCAGTTAGGTACAATTTTCTCCTTTTACATATAGATTGATTTCAATAAAATACAGCGACCATCCAAAGGAGAAAAATGTACCTACTTGCGCTCGTATATTTTAAGGGCTTCAAAGAGTGGGGCAGGCCAAAATTCAATGGGAATTCGATGTAAACATGGTACCCCTACTCAAAATAAAGATAAATATCTTCCAAATTATGTTTCTATTTTCAGTAAAAGTGCTTATTCCATGATGGTACACATATCAGTGATTAAGTGGGTACAAAAAATAGAGTAAAATTTAGATATTTTATTTTTTGTCAATTTACCGGGGGTCGTATGGCACATCATCCTTTACACGCCATGTTGACATTCGGAACTCTCTGGATTGTTCATAGAAAATGCACAGAATTCGAATTATTGCCCATGTTTATTTTGCTACATTGCCAATACATGGAACCAATTCCATCGTTAAACCGGGTCCGTAGGACAATATCATTTTTACAGTGTCAGGTGGTTCAATTCCGATTACGTGTTCGACCTGCGTGTAACAACCCAAGTGGTTTCGACCTGCTCTTATATATATCCCTGAGTACAGGGGTACACACTGTGCGGTAAACAAATGGATATTAGGTAGGTGTATACTGTATGGCTTCAGAGATGTACGTGTCAATAGGTCATTGTTTCCCTATGTGTAGTCAACATGCAATCAATAGTAAAGAATTAAATGGTTTCCTAACATTTTTATCTACTATTGCAGAGCAAGGATGTTGATAAATTTGATTTAGTAATGAATTATATTTGAACAGTTTTCCATAAAAATTAATCAAATACTTCTTCAAATGCACCATGATTACATATGCACTGTCTAAAAAATGTATGTTTCTCCAAATTAAATTGCATACGATAAATAAACATAATAATTAACACTATTTAAATGATTAAAATATACATGGTCGATACAAAAAATCCTATGTAGACAAAAAATAAAATGTAAAACTGTTGAAAGTGTTAATTGCTTTGGAACGAAACCACATGGGTCGAACATGGATTTGTGTCCAAACCACGCAGGTCGAACAAGTAATCGGAATGTAACCACCCGCATTCATTTCAATGATAGAATATTCTATCTACGCTATGACCACTACAGCTGCAATTTTACAGAAGGATCATTATTATCAGTCTGAATATATATTCAAACCTTGGCCAGATAAAGCGAGGTCAGATCTTGTAAGTGGACCAGGGCGGTTCTTCGCTGGTCCATGAATAAATTCTCGTTTGTATCTTGGATTTACAATGGGCAAGCAAACAAAATCAAACCTGAAAAAAAAAACGAAACAAAATCATAAGTCAGGTGTGTAGTATTAAACTTTTTCATTGTTTTGGGTGATTTTATTTCTGATAAACGCAAAGCATAACTGCTTATTCCTGTCTTATACACAACGTTTATCAATCTATGGGCATTCATCCCATCCACCCCACCATCTTCCCAAGAAATACATTTAATATTTTAGCAGTGATGAATGAGTAAGATACTTTGACTTATGTCCTACCCTGATTTACATGCAGTCTCTACTGCCGTGTTAATGTCTGGACAACAGTGAAAATCACGACCACAAGACGCACGTGCCATCTCCTTCACTGGCATATTTCGAGGAAGTTCGGGTGGAGAGTTGTGAATATCGATCCCGAATTTAAATGGAGATAATGGGTGACTCGTTCAACCAGACACTCGGCTATCTCCGTAATCTCCGACCCCTTTATAACTAGCGCGAAGATATCAAGGGGCGAGAGCTTAAGGAGGCTTTTGAGCAGATTTTTGTCTGGACCTTTATTTCTAAACTATTCTGCATCATATTAATAGAGGATATTCAATGTATGGAATTTATTTCACGAGTAGGATAGGATTTTTATATTTTCTCGAGTGCGAAGCACGAGTGAAAATATATTTTACAAAAAAAATCCTGTCTCACGAGTGAAATAAATTCCATATTCATTTCCAAAACATTGAATTTTCTGTTTATTACATTTTCTTTGATTTTCCCATTGCCTCTGCATGTCTTTTCGTAACACAGTGTCATAATTAAGCTGTGATGTCACATAGTTTAGCGCGGTTGAGACGTCAAAGCTAAGCGATTGAGAGATTGAAAATCGTTGTAAACATGGATTTTTAAATAACAAAATATCTGGAGAAACTTTGGCAGTTTTAGTCTCTGTCTGGATGGTGCATTTACTCTATCTTCATAACAGGCCATGCAGGGAGTTTAAAAAAAAAAATCTTCTTGAAGATGAATTAATTATGAAGATAACGAAAAGTATTCAATCTCGAAAGTCCAATGAAACAATACAAATTTGGAGCAGAGCAAACACGGACCTCAAAATTTAGAGGTGGGATATCAGGTGCCTTGGAGGAGTGAGCATCCCCTGCCGACCGCTCCTTGTCATGACAGGAGGAAAAAAAAACGAAAAATCCATAGACAGTTCAGTATATAAATAATGGCCTAACAATTAGTACAAAAAACGTGACTTCTGGTCTCAAAATGAACCTCAGGCCTGATATTTGATCTAAGAGTGAAATTAATAGGGCCCAAAATACACAATTTTTTAGCATACTGTCAAAATGATACCGGTTCAGCATCCTGGTCAGATAAACAGATATGTTGAAGTCAACGTTCATTTAACTTCCTTACAAACATTGTTTACAGGGGTTAAATCCAACAGAACAAGCTTGATGTGGACTAAATTTTAATCCAAAAATGTTTGCAATGATTTACATGTTAGACATATTGAATACATTTTAAAAAGGAAAATGAGATTACGTATCTGTAAATTAATGCAAGTAAAATCTATATCTACATGATCACAAAATGCTTTTATTTGGGGTATTACAATAACTTAGGGCATAGCAAACAAACAAGTAGGCAGGGTAGCAATGATGATTTTTGAATATGATTATCACCTTCTCAGAAATATTTAGTACATCAGTTAAATAAAACAAGAGATTGCAGAATGTTTGAAATGATACATTAATAATAATTCCACCCAACCAATTCCAGTACAAGGTAAACTTAACATGTTACACCAGCACAAGTATAATGACAAAGTTTTAGAAATTTGAAAGACAGAGAGAAGGAAAAAGATTGTGATCAACACAATGTAGAAAGAAAAGCTAAGAGCTCTGAGGTCATACAATGTAGGATGTGTCCCAACATCTGTGAAATTCTATTTCCTTTTTTTTTGTAATAGTGAGAATAGCTGATAGAGATGCACTTCAACTGAAAATGCTTGTTTATAATTTCTACAGCTACATGTAGATAAATACCCATATTCCTTACATTGGTATACAATACATGGAGTGCACAGTAAATATTGTAAATGCATGTGTTTAATATCTATTAAAAAGGTCAGCTAATAAATACTTGACACTCATTCAAAATCATTAAGAAATCCAAGTTTTATGCTAAAAGCAAAAACTGAATCCATTTTTTTTCTATTGCACTCAGTAAATGTTAATGCATCAAAGAGCTCTGTCCAGTGATGCTTTGATCACTCTGTGGTCTTTGGCATTCTGACTGGTCTTAGCGCATCTGAGTGCCAGGTTCTGATGTTAGCTAGTGCCCTGTTAATTTTGTTGCACCAGTTTATTCTCTCCTCTTTAGTGTCAGCAGAAATCATGTGTCTGTAACAAATGGTAACAATGAAATGAGTGCATCTTATCTAAAAATGATAATTATTTTGTACAATATACTGGTAAAAATACTAAAGCTAGAATATGTCCACTGGACATGAATGCCATGCCTAGGGTTCATTTATAGTAATGCAACATTATACATGTACATATCGAAGGCAGAGGGTAACATAACACTCCTGGGCTTTCCTGTCACCGAGGGGCAAATATTTTGGTAAAGTCACCTGAGAAGCCATGTGGTACATGTTATAGAAAATTTTTAGTTTCTTTGAAAGTGGGGTTTAAACACAACAAATAGTAAAATCAAAGGTCATTGAAATTGAGCTAACAAATTTAAGAATAGTAAGGTCAAGGTCACAGAGAAGATCAAGTTAAAAAATGTTGATGCAGTTTTACAGATATCACCAATATGTATCTGCATGTGAAGCTTAATAATTATATCTTGAATAATTTCTTTGAATTTAATATAAATGCAAATTTAAGAGACCTGAGGTCAAAGGCATGATTATGGTCAATTTTTTCCCTTCGAACATAGTTGAAAAGCTGTCACTTATATGTTTCAGCATATGAAATTTGATAAAAATATTTTTAATAGATTCTTTGAAACTGAGCTAAACAAAAATTTAAGAAAAGTAAGGTCAAGGTCAAATGAAAAGTCAAGGTAAAAAAAATGATGATGTGGTTGAAGTTCTCACAAATATGTATCAGCATAGAAGGTTTTTATAATAATATTGAGAATAGTTTATTTGAAAATGAGCTAAATGCAAAGTTTGATGGACGGACAGGCAGAAGAATAGAAAGATGAATGGACAGAAGACAGATATAAAGACTCTGTCCCAGCCATATTCATGGTGCAGCATAAAAATGTTAGCCATAAATAGCTATCTTGTCATGCCATTTTGCCATGGTAGTTTATTTCTAATACATGGGTTTGTAATTGAAGTGGGTTTTAAAGATGCTTAGACACAGATTTGAAGTTAATATTTTCTCAAATTTTCTGTATAATATCACGACTTATATATTGCAATAGCATTTCACACGAAAACATAATTAAAAACTTATTTTATCTGGAAATTATTGGAACTACAAATTCCTGGATGCGTTTGATTAACACATCCTTGCACTTTCACGAATTTTATCTTTATCCTTAATATTTAAGAAAAGAAGCTATTTTTTGTGTATTAATGAAAAACATTACATCTATAATCCAGAAAATTCAGAGTAGAAATGTGCGAAAGCAAACCCCCTCACTAATATCGTCAGCCCGTGCTCAGTGTTGTGTACAGAGTTTAACAAATTGAATACACCCGTGAAACATAAACCGTTTTTGTAAACAGGGCACGAGCTCTGTTATTGTTAATGTTTATGATTCACCGGGTGTGTTCAATTGTTAAAGTCTGCATACACCACTGAGTACGGACTGACAATACTAAGAGTGGATTTTGCTTTCGAACATTTCTACTCTGAATTTTTCTGGATTATAGTTTTAATATTTTTCATTAATACACATCAAAATTGCCACTTTTTTTAAGTATTAAGAATAGAATTAAAATTTGTGAAAGTGCAAGGATGTGTCAATCAAACGCGTCCATGTATTTGAAGTTTCAATAACTTCGAGATGAAATAAGATTTTTATTATATTTTAGTATGAAATGCTATAGCAACATATAAGTCATGAAATTATGCAGAAAATTTGAGAATATGTTAACTTCAAATCTGTGTCCAAGCACCTTTAAAATTGATATTTTGTGTATACAATTCTCCTTGAAAATTAAGAAAAGGAATGACTTCATTTTCTGATATCAAAATCTCCTACATATTAAAGCTACTTGATACATCAAGTGACTGAATGTAGAATTTAGTATTACAGCTACATATGAGTTTTATGAGTTTTTCATTTTCCAGTACCCACCTAATGGTTGTCATGGTGTTGTACGTCTTGCTAATCAAAGTGTCCTCTTCCCCCCTCCTGGGTTGTCGTACTGTGACTAGTTCAAAAGTGTTGGGGCGAGCACAGATGTCTCTGGGTATTAGGCCCACCTTCTCTGTGACGCACCTCTTTAAATCAATTATTCCCATTGGCTCCTTCAAAATAAAAAAAAAAGGAAAACCTTACTTGTACATGTCAGTAAACCCATACAAAAAGATATATTAACAGTTTTTTTTTTTTTTAAAGCTGTTCTATAAAAGTATAAATCATACAAGGCCATCTTGTCTGCCCTCTCCCGACTTACGGTGAAAAAAAAAATTGGGTTGGTAGGTGGGTGGGAAAAATTTCATTTGCAGAAAATTTCAACTTGCTTGTTGATGAAATAAGAAAATTCTGGGGAAGAAAAAATATCGTTTTCTGCAGGTTAAAACAAATTTTGAGTTAACTTGTTCCACTCTAAAGAAATCATGCATAAACTAGAAATATGTCCACAGGACACGAATACCCCACCCAGAATTTTATAGTAATGCATCATGGAAAAAAATGTATCTTGTTTCTTTTAAGATTTAGGTGTGTCTAGAAATGCCTTTGTCTTTGGAGAAAACAAACTGCTGAGCCCTGCTTCAATGACACGGACAATCAGACAAATGTAAATGTGACCCGCTCAATTCTAACCTTCCTGTTTTCCTCATCAGGATACTTCCAGAAACAGAGTTTGTTCCCCTGAAGTGCAGTCCATCTTCTGTGCCAGGCTCCAAATCCACTGACATCCTCAAACATTGTCTACAGATAACAAACAGATATTCTCAAACATGGTCTACAGATGACAAACAGACATCCTCAAACATTGTCTACAGATAACAGACAGAAATCTTCAAACATTATCTACAGATAGCAAACAGACATCACATAAAACCTGTCTACTGTATAGTACACAAATATACACAGCTCTTGTTGGTAGAACAATAAGTTCCAGAAAAAAAATGATTAAGGTCTGATTTCCATTATAAAAGAAACGATGATTGGCTGAAAATCTTGTCACATGACCAAAAAAACCAATGAGAATGACGGAGACAAATACTGTCTTCACCTATTTATATCATTAAATGCCAAATATAGTATGGGGAATACCCAAAATAAAGGGCTTGAATCTCGTTGATAATGTGCGGAAATGTGTTTTTGTAAAGATGGCGGACGCCAGTAGCGGATTCTTCCGAGTTTTCTTTTAGGTATTTTGAGAATATGAATGCAGTAAATGACATTTTTGAGATCGGAAATTATAACTCTGTTTCTTCTGTATCAACTACTGAGCTTTTACCAATAAATACCCGTTCTTTATTGAACAGCAATGACAAGAACTTAGCGTGGATGGCGGTTTTGCCCAAACGATTTATCAACCAAGTACTTACAAAGCCTGTGGATGTCGCATTTGCATTAGAAAAGGAGAAATACGAACTTGGTTTCATCATGAAGTTTTTTTTTTACGTTTGTTCTCTAATATGTCATACTAAAAATACATGAAGTCTGTGAAAATTGTGAAATAAATTGGGAAATTTCATGACAGAATTCTAATTTTCTGGTAAAATTTTGGAAATGTTATTCAAAACAGTTGGTTTTTGCATAATTCATGTAATAAAAAATATATGAGATACAAGATAAAGATGTAAAGTAGGAGTGAAACGGTTCACCGCGGTATCGATGCACCGCGGTATTTTTTCTCGGTTTGATACACGGTGCAAAATCTCTAATTTTCGGTTCGGTTCATTTTTCGGTCGGGATCGTTATTCAGTCGGGTTTGGCATAAGGTATAACACGTTACTCAGAATAAATAAGTATAGAAAACGTAAATTTTTGATGACTGATAGCTTGTAAAATAATTTTTGACAGTCAAATAATTTTAATCAATTTCTTCTAGTCAATTTCCAAATAAAATTCGTAAAATATGTGACTAGATTTAGAAAAAGAAAGCATAAAACAACGTAGAATTTGTTTCCTTCTATCAAAATGTATCGTATCGAAAATAACCGAACCGAGACAAAATTATACAATACATATCGAACCGTGAAGGAGGTGTATCGTTTCACCCCTAATGTAAAGAATATTTTTTGTTATATATGTTTCTATCAAATTTTTACAGATAATAAGATAATCAGCAATAAATGTGCCCACTATTGTATTTTATCCTCATTCTGCTGATAGGCAGTCTAAGAGCTTATCAGTAGCAGGCTCTCTACAGAGAGTCTCTGGCAGTTAAAGAGTTAATTTAAACTCACCAAGAATCCTCTTTCCTCTACATTTTGTTCCATTAAACATTTCAGTCTCATGTAAATTGTGCCATGAAGTGGAGACAAATATGGAATCTAAAATAACAAACAGGAATAGCTTAAAGAAACTTCAGGTATATAGGTATAATCTGCGCATTGCAAAATTCTGTGTACATGTAAACATTACTGATTCTTCACCTGTTTGAATTTTAATACAAAATGACGGTGTAATAAAACTTCGATGAATGCCTACCCTTTCAAGAGTAAAGCAGGTCTTGTCCAGGGCCCTCATGGTGATAGGGAGGGTGGTAATCAGGGTAAAACTTGTTGTCCTCACTGCCGTAGGACCACCAGGACTGGGAGCTAAATAAAAATCTACACAATCAGCAACCAACTTTTAAATATGCATTTTTTCAATATGTACAAATGTTTTGCTGCTCCCAACATTTACATGTACTTTGCTAAACCTTTGCAGGAATATCTAAATTGAGCACTCAATTTATTTCTCAATACCTGGTGCCAGGTGCCCTTTTGGGGCTTTTTTAGGAGTTTTTCTTTTCTTGTCCTTTATAGCTTCTCTGGATATTGACTGAAATAAAGTTAAAAAAAAAATCAAAATCATCTGAAATTTCTCAGGCACTGCCACATTAGTTCAGAAAATGCCACACTGATCAATTGAAAAAGGGAACAACTCAGTTTTCTATTTTTTCAACTAAAAAAAAGAAAATCAGGTTATTTTCCCTTTTGCAGCATTATAAAAAAAAAGGTCAATCATCTCTTACTCATAACATTTCTTGTTATAACATTATCAAAAGACATAATAAAGGTTTGTATAGCATTATTAAACAGTTTAATACAAACACAAAATACAAAAATTGAAAGATTGAGAAATAAAATGCATCCTCATGTAGCAATATAAAAAGGGAACAACTTTCGAATTTAATATCTGTAATGATAGTGAAAACAAAATGTCATCAATTTGTTAGTGGCAAACATTATGCTAAGTTTGATCTCTATCACATCTCATTATCACTGGCAGTAATTTTCTTCTGAATTCCAGAGTGCTTAATCTGATATCTGTAAAGTAAACTGAGCTGACAATACCTTCTTATGTCTTCCTAAGTCTTGTATCCATGTTGTTTGAGCATTGATCTTTGACCTTGTGATGTCAAAATCAAAAGGTATCATCTACTTACTATGGGGAGCCAGTGAATAAATTTTGTGCAACTCTATATATCTAGAGTAGTTTGACCCTTGATCTTTGATCTTGTGACCTCAAAATCTATAGTGGTCAATACTCCTTAGGGGAAACTAGTATAACAAGTTTGATGTCAGTCAAGCAAAGGGTTCTCAAGATCTTGAGTGGTCAATATCTTCCTTTATTATACCTCTATTAAGAATACTCAAATTTGATTGGCTTGTTAGAAGGCTTTTAAACTCAATAATGACTCCAAAAAGTACCATTTACAGCAATAATGACCTAGGAATCATTGCACGTGGGGTATAATGACCGGTCAATAAAAATAATGACCGCTAAAAATGACTGTTAATCCAAATTCCATTCAAATTTAAAAATTAATGCATACAGTAATGACTGTTCATTACAAAAAATGCCGTTATAAAAATATGTATAGTCTTTTTATGATACGGAATATGATTGTCCTTTAGATGCGTCATAAAATTTATCGTTTTCATTGAAACTTTCGTTACAATGTCAAATTCAACGAATGCAGACTTGGCTCTTTTGTACAGTAAAAGTCTGCACCAGATTGTCATTGTACTCAGAAATGGTATTTGTGAATTTATAAAAATGCATGTTACTGACAATCACAGAGTGTTTTAATAAATCGGCGGTGCAAAAACTTACAAGACTTGCAGGCGAAAAGTAAACAACTTCACTAGCGAATCCCGATCCCGATGAAACACTGATAATAACAGATCGTAGATCTAATACACAGTTGATTATTTTAGTAATTAAGCCTACAAAAATTGTCTTGACTTATATCGGTATAATAAAACAATTGATTACCCCTTATGAGTTCAACATGGTGAAATAAGGACCCTCGACCTGGCCCACTCGCTGACCTGACCTGACCTCGGCCGCTACGCGGCCTCGGTCAGGTCAGGTCACCTCGTGGGCCAGGTCTCGGGTCCTTATTTCACCATGTTGACCTCATAAGGGATAATTAATTGTATAATGTTCAGCTTGACCACTGACCTTCTACCTAGTGACCTCAGAATCTATAATGGTCAACTACTCCTAAGGAAACCAATGTACTAAGTTTGATGTATGCAAAGGAAAAGGTTCCAAATTGTGAGGTCAATATATTCTGATGTCCAGGTTGACCTTTGATCTTGTGATGTCAAAATCAATACATATCACCTGCTTCATAAGGGGAACTGGAGAATTAAGTTTGATGTCTGTCAAGCAAAGAGTTCTCAGGATATTGAACAGTCACTATCTTCCTAAGTCCAGTTTGACATAGTGTGAGCTCAAATTCAATACACCAATTTTGATGTCTGTCAAGTATATTGAAGGGACAAGACCTTCCTATGTCTGGAGCAGTTTGACCCTTGATTTTGTGACCTAATTATCTACAGGGATCATGTGCTCCTCTGTTTAAGCAAAGGGTTCCCAAGATAATGAGCAGACAACACTTTCGCAGGTAGGTTAAGGCTTCTCAAAAAACATCACAGAGCATCATATGCAGTCATTTCTTTGAACTACCAAGATATGATGTCAAGTCACTGCAAACTAGAGCTGTCATGAAGTTCACCTCTTATTTCAAGCAACATATAAAGTGTTAAAATGTTATTGTAAAGTTTACGTGTTTTGACTGTGGTTTTAAGACTGAGGGTGTGCTATCATTATTGAATTTTAACGTTATTTGTTAAATTTCTCTATAATGAAAATAAGTGTATAATTAAAATTGCAAAATTTTTGGGCTGAGAATCAAAGGATTGGGGGGGGGGGGGGGGGGGGGAGGGCTTTAGTACAATTAATTCTTGGTATAAAGTGTAATTTTTCTTTTCTACTTACCATGCTGTATATTTCCAGGTTGAGTTTGAAGTTGCCACAGATGCCGTGGATTTTGATCAGGTTTGGGAAGTCCAGACTACCTCTCATCATTGGGTCATGTGTAGATAACATCTGGGTCACAATCACTTGGGCATGGTTTCGGATCAACAACAGGAAGTAGTGAACTGTGTTATCTACAAACAAATTCTTGATGTTTTCAAAACCTTTATAAGGGATACATGAACCTGTTGAGTGTTATTCAACAATACATTTACATTTGCATTTTAACAAGGCTTTTTAATCCTTTATATAAACAGGTTCGTCACATGACCACATTTATTACATTTTCAACAATGAAATACTGTAATTTATTTACTGAATAAAATTGATATTATGACACAGTGTGGAAGGATATCAAAATGGTATTCTCAATTTCTTACAGTGTGAGAATATTATCAGAAGTGTGGCAAAACTCGAGATTTTCCTTCCCATCACGAAGTGTTTAAAAAGAACAACTCCCTGGTCTGTTTCATAAGATAGAGAGGGAGTAAATGAACCATCCTGACAGAGACTAAAACTGCCAAAGTTTCTCCAAATATGTTGTTCAAAATCCATGTTTACAATCTTGCAATCGCTTAGCCATGACGTCCCAACCGCTCAACTATGAGGTCACAGCCTATGACACTGTGCTATTGGACCATAACCAAATTCAAACTTGATCTATTTTTTCTGATAAAATACCTGCATATGCAATTTCAACCTTATATATATATATACATCCTTACAAAAGTCAGAGAGCGGAAACTGATAATTTCTTAAGTTTTTTCTAAGTTTAAGAGGGACAACTCGGTCAAAAATCATTGGACCATGACCAAACTATTTGTATTCGAATTATTGTCAATGTTATATTTAAAGTATATCCAGTGATTTTTTTCTACCCATTGGGAAAGGATCTAGTACCAGTTCAATTGGGAAAAATATCATCGAAGTAGAACCAAGGAGAATTTTCTGTCATTTAAACAAATGAATCATATTTTGCATTTATTCCAACCTCATTACCTATTACGCCATGTTTTAAAGAATAAACAAGAAGTATTTATTGTTTTTTCATATTGATGTCCCATGTTTTCGCATTTTTATGCTTTCAATCTGTCAAAATGTATGACACTACGCTGTCTTCACCACAGGTCCTGCCATATTATGAGGACTAATCTCTACTTTCAATTTAAGCAGAAGTGAAACAATTAGTCAACTTGTACAATGTTTCATATAAAAAGAAATACGATGTCATTGTAGTCTGTTGCTTGGCAGTTGAATTGGGAATTTTTAGTCTCAAAATTGGGAAAAATTACCCTGATTTGGCATTGGGAATGGTACCATTTATTGGTACCAGTTATATAAGGGAAAAAACGCTGATATCTCTCTAAAATGTTAAAATACTTATACCATTTGCAGACCAAAGAAAATTTGTATACCTATATGATAATAAAATTGATAACAATATATTTACTTGACTTATCTAAAATGGAACGTTTTTGTTCTCGGTCATTCAGAATCTTTAAAATAATAGTAAGGAACAGCAGATTACTTTGTGCATTTACAAGACCTAGAAAACACATGGGTCTTGTCAAACTTGTGTGTAAATACATCATAAGAAAGTGTAAGATGTATGTGAAGCGGCGAAACATAGCTTTATTAAGTTTATTTGTAAATCCAAGTACTAGTAGTTCTACAACAAGCATCCCTGATTCCACGGAAATTATACTGTTTCTGCATCCGGCAGATGCAACTAGTATTGCAGAGAAAGTGCAGCAATATGATTAGCTAGGGTAATTAGAAAGCTTTAATAATTAGTCTGAAAAATAAATGATTTGTCATAAATCATATCAGATTATTCTATCTTCAATGGCTATTACGAGAAGGATTTTCTCTTATGTTTACCATTAGGGCAAAACCAAAAAAAAAAATTTACAATCTTAAAAATTACAATCTTATTGATTTTTCCCAATTTGACACAAATGTCAATGATTTTTCCCAACTGTAAAGGCCGAGTCCCCTTTTAAAAAATGTAGAAAAATCACTAGATCAAATCTACCATAAAGCTCTTTGGGCTTTACAGGATTACATAGGATTAGATCACATGAAACCCATATTTACATCCCGATACATGACAATTGACTGAGATATTTGGATCATACTCTCTTTACCTGAACCAGTTCCTATCTTGGTAACAAACTCTTTCTTCAGTGGCAGCCTTATATCACTTATGGTCAGTGATCCCCGGGGCCCAGATCCTGGGGGGTCTAAACATCCAGACTCCTTTAAGCGCTGAATCTCAGTCAGATAAGCTTGTCTCTTTTGACCTTGAATAAAAGTTATAAATTCTCAGTACTCACATTTTGAAGAAACACTGACTTTTTTTTGTGTATTAATGTGAAGAATCAGTGTTACTCACAGGCAATAAGCAGGAGTCTGTTACACTCGACTTGTTCTGGTGAACCCTGGAAGTAAGAATTACTGGAGCAGCACTGGTTTAGGGCATTACTGGTCTGCATGATGACACTCTGTTCCTGGCTGACCAATTCCTGAAGCTCCTACAAAAGAAATGCCAAAAATTAAAACTTACCTCCAAGAAAAAATTAGTACAGAAAAGAAAACTTCCTTATTATCAGACAGTTGATTTTCAGAAATATCACTTATTGATGATAGTGTGTTAAGTCGGTATTAGCAGTACCTGGATTCTCTCCTGAATGCTCTTGCGTTCCAGCTCTGGTGGTAACTGTGTAGGCATCTCAATATTCTCTTCATGTATAGAATCCTCAAACTCTCTATTACGAATAATTCTTTTCTTAGGAGAATTAGACTCATGCAGGTATCTGTAATCAAGGACATACATACTATTTTAGACCTGTAATGTCTTGTCTGTACAAGTACTAAACCTCTTGAAATCACATAGCTAAAAGCAATATTTTTGATAGATCTCTCAAACAAAACATATTCAACTATTTGCCAAAAAATTAGATAGAACTGTATAAATACAAACCTGCGTGACCTGTACATGCTAACACTGTAGGCCAGGTTCCCAGCATTTTCTTCACTTGTAGCCATCATATGACTTCGTCTTTTGCGCTATAATGACAAATTTGATTTTCACAGTTTATCATCAATGAAAGAAATTAAAACTAGGATATCAAAATTAATCCTAAACATATGAGAATCATTTTCTCTTTTAAGAAGAAGCTTGTGGGTAAAATCATAATTCCGACTTACCGGAGCAGCTCTTGGTTTACCAGTCTCCTCCTCCTCATCACTCATAGCTTCATCTAGGAGGTCATTGATCTGATTTTCTGATGATTCGTCATCTTCAGTATCCGAGTATTCTCTAGATTCCGTGGAGTAAGAACTCTGATCACTTGATGTACTCTCCAGACTACTGGAGCTGGTCTGCTGCTGAGGAACCACCAGATTGCTGCCACTCCTGCAGCTGGAAGGAACTGATGCCACAGGGTTTATTGTTGGTTTGGGTCTGTTTTCCCTCTGTTCCGGTTCTTTCTGTGGACCACTGGGCAGCACACTCTGTCGTCTGACAGAGGCGGGGACAAAAGCACTAAAACTGACATCATCACTGTCCGAGTCATCCTCCTCCATCAAGGGGAGGGGAGCCCGAGGACCGATATCACTTTCTGATTCACTAGGCTGTCTCTGCATCCCCTCATCAGTTGAGGACACTACCTCCTCTTCCTTCTCCTCCTGAGTTGAGGACAGAGGTCTCCTTGTGTACAGTTCCTCATCTTCAGTACTGTCAAAACTGTCATCTGACTTCCTATCCTTGTTTCCTGGCATGCTTGGCTTCTCATTTCTTTTCTGTGATATGAGGCGGTATATGCTGGGTGAGGGGTTACTCTTTGACTGAGTACTGTTAGCCACGGGTGGTTTGGCCTGGGAGGTGGGTTGTCCTTGTTTCTCTTTGAAGTCATAAGATGCATCACTGCTGTCATCTGAAAGTTCAAATCCCATTGCTGCTAACTTTCTCTCAAACTCTAAATGCAGTTGTCAGAAAAAAGAACAGTAACATTGTTAGCATAAAAGCATGCAGCATGCAATGCAAGATTTCTCATTCTAAATAGCTGGCAAAATTCCTAGACTAAATATCTACAAAAAATATATAAATCATGACTATATCTTCTTGAATCTAGTAGTTAAAATGAGAATCCTTGCATAGTGGAGCAAACTATTGTTAACTAAATGCACAGCTTAATAAAGTCTTTTTTTTTTAAATAAATGGAGGTTGTAATTTTTGATGAGAAATAAAGACAGAAATTTAGGTTCTCCATCCCTCCTGAAAATGAAGGTGTTGTAATCTCTCTGTTCTCTACAAGGAACTTTATTTCTTTTGGCACCCTCTTTCTATATACTTCTTTGTAAAACTGATCCCATGTTGTTGCCTCAACCTATTCCCAAGGCCACTGATCTGAACAAACTTCATTCAAACTACTTTAGGATGCTTGATATTGATCATGTTGATATGACTAATAATGGCTTTTCTGTTCATTAGAGGAAGAATTTTTTTTAAAAACAATTTTTTTCATATATTCCTATTTAAAACTTTGGTCCCCTATTGTGGTCCCACCCTATCCCCAAGGGCCATTATGTTAACAAATTTGAATCTACACTACCTGAGGATGCTTCCATATACATCTAAATATGAATAATCATGGCTTTACCATTCTTGAGAAGATTTTCAAAGATTTTTTCCTATGAAAATCTTTGATCGCCTTTTGTGGCCCCACTCTTACCCCGGGGGTCATGATTTGAACAAAATTAAATCTACACTACGCAATGAAGCTTTCAACTAAGTTTATCTTTTCTGGACTGTGATTCTTAAGATTTTTAAAGGTGTAATTAAATTTTCACTAATTCTTAATTATCTCCCCTTGAAAGACTGTGTGACCTTTCATCAGTCAGGGGTGAGACTGAAATCCGTCATTTTTGAAAAATGATGGATAATCGTCATATTTACCAAGTACGTATTTTCGTCATTTTTGTCAATATGACTTACTATCGTCATATTTTCTTTTTCAACTTAATTCTTCTATCCTGGTTACATAAAAGCGAAATTTGAATTCACCGCTGAAAGAAGAGTGTTTACGCAAGTTTCATTTCATCCGGGTCACTAATTACTGCCGACCACGTGCGTTAGAACATCAACATGGAAGGAGAAAGTTATTATTTAGCGGTAAAATGTCGAATTTTGGTAGAACTAATTCGCCATTTTTACATGGCTTTTAGCCCTATAAAAACATATAGTACACCGTCTGGAAGAATACGTACTTGTAGAGAAAAGTCTCGACAAAAAGTTAAAGCCATAAAAAAGTAGTGCGCCCCGTAAAACAAGCAAGATATTTCAGTGCGCCCAGACCCTCCGTTTTGAAAAAAGACGGAATATCGTCATTTTCGTCTTCTTTCCTATTTAATGCAAATAAATTGACAAATAACTCTTCCACTCTTATTTTTGCTTGGGAAATTTATACTGTCAACATAACCAGTATTGTAGTCAGCTGTATTAGAGAAATGAAGTTCGTTTACGATGTTTTTTGTCCTTTTTTCGGTTGGTGGATCTAACATTTTTCAAAGAGAGGTAACTCGGTATTCTAGAAACACTCTAATTTTTTATGACTGTTTTTCGTCATTTTCTTAAAAATGACGAGTTTAAGTCATAATAAAAATTTTATTTTATGGCTTAAAATCGTCATTTTAAAAATGACGGATTTCAGTCTCACCCCTGACTGTTCATTTGAAAAAGTTTGAATCCCCTTCATCCAAAGATGCTTTATGCCAAGTTCAGTTGAAATTAGCCCAGTGGTTCAGGAGAAGAGTTCAAAATTTGAAAAGTTTACAATAACAAATTTCGATTAGATAAGCTCACTTGAGCAATAATACTAAACTGTACAAGATGTGTACACATACAAATGCAAAAAAGTTCTGTTTTAAAAAGTTTTCTGCATTATTCCTCCCTTCAATTTGTACATGCATGATGAATTTTTGGAGGTCTGTTGTAACATACATATCTTACAAAATGGATCATTGGCTGTAGGCACAAAAATAACATAAATGTAATATAATCTGTTGCACTTCATATATAATCTGACAAGAATGAAAATATAACAATGTCCCATTAAACATGTTAAATAATAAACATAAGTTGCAACAGATAAGTGAGGGGTGGAGATTGTTAAGGTGTGAATTTCAGTAAAAAAAAAAAAATGAATGCAACTTTAACTTTCGGTAGACCCCTACTCAAAGATTTGTTAATGTTTCCTTCTGAGACTGAAAACATCTTAGGAAGTTAAAAAAAGACCCCAAAATACACTTCTTAACCTTGAAAAATATGTCATTGAAATATTTGCTAATGATGACATCATTGGAGTAGGGATCTACCTTAAACAAGATGGAAGCCATTTCTGTCAGGAGTACAAGATCATGTACTGCTTAGCTTTAAAGGTCTGTCATTGATGAGAACTTCAGTATTATATACATGTATATCAACTTACATGACATGCTTAAAAGCTTAAATCAACAACAAAAATCTTTGAAATGATGTTAGGGATTTAAGGCAGTGTAAAATTCTACTGTGTTGGTATCCATCAATGACAGCCCTTAGCATCATCCAGCACCAAAACTGATACAATACATATATAAATGTATATCATATACAGTATATGTTATTCACATACAAAACACATGTACCGATGTACATATGTTAACCGTTTACTGAAGAAGCAATATCTAGGTGCAATTTGTAGCAGAAATCACCAGATTTTGATACATTTATCACATTATCCTTAAATATGTATCATGGTGTATTGGAATGGTAGTTACAAAAGTTAACAGCTATAATACTATACAGTATAAAACCCACCAGCTCTGGCCTTGGCTCTGATGACTTCCCTTCTGCTGTCTCCAATGTCCTTGGTCAATTTCTGGTCCTCTGTGTCACTTGGGGTCTGCAAAGACAAATGCTAAAATTCCAAAAATAAATAGGTGAACAAGTTCAAGGGGTCCAGCCTAAATCCCTTTGCAAATGCGTATTTTCCTTTGCAACAAACAAAATGGCGGAGTTGAAGCGAGGATCGTCACGGAGGTCAGTAAAAATTATGATATTTTTTATGATTCCTACATTAAAATCAGTACCAAAGCCCAACCTTTCGGTGAAACATTTATTCTTCTATTTTGGAGACACTTTCTTATATGTTCAAATCAAATACAATAAATTCTATTGAAATAAAACCACATGCCTTGCGAACTCGGATTGATACTGATGAGGGAATAAGGTTTATTTTATTGCCGAATAAGTGCCAAGTTGCAAACTAGAGAAACTCGTCACATAGACTACAACAAGAATTTTTATGGAAAGATTATTTTCTGTGACAAAACGACAATAATTTGTATAATTTTCAAGATTAAGTTATTTAGGAAATATTTTCATTTGCAAATTGTGGTTTAGGACTTTTTTTCCTGTGCAAAACAATTTGTTCAAAACAGGCAACAAAGTTAAGGTACCTATAAAATAGGCAGAGCATAATTTATGCGGGAAATGTTTTCTAGGACACCACACAAAAATAACAATTCTTCAAAATATTAGAAAATGAAAAAAATGCGAGTTTCAACATTAAAATAAACTACATCAATACTTACTCTTAGGTGCAGTTTACTCAAGTTATGAACAAATAAATGATCGCGTTGAACTTGTCAACGTGACGTTATTATGGTACAATCTGACGCATGAGAGGTCAGACGCGGATCCAGGAATTTTTTCCAACAGGTTGGGGGGGGGGGCCATTTCAACTTATTTCACCAACAAATTTCAGATTTAGAAAATAAGGGAAAAAGAATGGAAAAACTTAAACAACTTGCCCAAACCTCTGAAATTTTATTGGGGGGAGGGGGGTAGGAGAAATCACTCTCATTAGTAAATTTTCTTAAGATACATGACTCTCCTTGCTGTGTTTAGAGGGATCCATGTTGTCGTGCAGTAATTGAATGTCAAGACTTAAACAGTTAAAACCATAAGCATTAAAACCATGATTTGGGAATTCTCATATCGTTATACCAGTTTTTTCCAGTGATTCCAAATAGCAAATTGTGTGTTTCATTTCTCTTTAGTCATTGTTGGTAAATTTTGAAAACTTATTGTTTTGATTATTTTCAATTAAATGTATAAAACATTGTTTTGCATAAAAACAAAAGATGACTTATTTGTTTCTGTCACCACACGTTGACACTTAAAAACAGACCAGTACTAACAGCATATCTAGGACCCATATACATGTTTCATGAATTAGTAGATTTCATTTTAAAAACCTTGCCTGTTTTTATTTTAAAAGTTTCAATTCAGCTACAGTTCTCACATATCAATAGAAGTTTGGAGAAGCCTATTACGATAAAATTTTCATATCAAAGTCAGTAGTACATAATTTTTTCTAAAGAAATTTATTCAGGATTCACAGGATATACATGTTCTATATGGACAAGAAAATTAGGGGACGACCATTTGCGATATCTGCGATAACTGTGGAAAGTCTTTTGAAACAAAAGACCAATTGAAGGGTCACTTTGTCAATCAACATGATGGAGAAAAATTCTCTTGCGATTTGTGTGAGAAAGCGTTTAGTTATAAAGATAGTCTTTGAGTAGCTTTTTTAAAAGAGATTTTTTTTCAAAGAGTAGTTACTGGTGTATGTTTTTTTGGTTGAAACTTCAATACTTTGCGTCGATGCGTATTGTTTTATTTATTTATTTATTTATATTTTTTTTTTGCCGATCTGTGTGGTGTAAATTGTATCTTTCTTTTTGATCGGTATAAACTTAAGGCAAGAGGCTTTTTCTTATAACGACCCATGCTCTGAAACAACGAATAATCTAATTTTTTAACAGAAGATAACAGTATCAATACCTTGGCATTCATTAATGTTGCAAGGAAAACCTGTCCTAAGATCAATTTTGCAATAAATGCATAAATGAAAATTGTGTTTTATTGATATATGACAAGAAGATTTTAAAAGTTATGCATTGTTTAATCCTTTTGAATGTGTATATAGCAACATATACCACGAATAATCAAAGTCAAATGTATGCATCTGACAAACAATACAGACATGCCTCCAGTTTTTCTTCAATAGTTTTTTTGTCTTCAGGTGAATTACTAAACCAACCTGTTCCCAGTTGTAAGGATAGAAAGGCGCACCGAATCGTAACAATCATATATCAAAATCAATAGTAATTGAGTCCAAAATGACATTACAAATACTGACCTCGATTTTTACTTCGCCTCAATTTCGCCATTTTGTCTGTTGCAAAGGAAAATACGCATTTGCAAAGGGATTTAGGCTGGACCCCTTGAAGTTGTCAATTACATCATTGGACAACAGTTTACTGTTGCCCAACCAGCTCATGTATAAATCTTTGTACACAATTTATTTTTGGTCCATTTCAGATGTGCATTTGGATTTTTTTTAACTGAATATATTTTATTTTAAATAATGATATTATCTCATTTTGTCTTAGCAAGTAACCGTAAACATGTTTATAATTCCCCGGTCCCTACCTTTTCTTTGGTGGGGACCTCCTCCTTGAGAATCCCATTCTGATGCCGATTCTGCAGCAGCTGTACTTCCTCCATTCTCTCACGTCTCATCTTCTCCGCAGTGTCCGCTGTTTTTCCGTGAGACACCTGCTCCAGCAGCTTCTGTTGCATGATCTTAGTAGCGCTGCCTATCTTCCCTGGTGTGGCTTCAGTCTTTACTGGACTCTCAGTTGCTGCTTTAATGTGATCAGCTTTCTGTAATATATTCTCCTTGACTGATTTTGATGGAGTGACCATCTTATTTTCTGTAGTTTGTCCAATAGCCTTTACTGGAGTTGATTTTTTAGCACTACCATACACTGGAGCCTTCACTGGAGATTTCTTGCCAGGTGAAACACTGCTGGGGTCCACCTTTTTAATATAAGACACCTTATTGCTTGAGGACATCTCTTCCCATGCTGACATTCTGGCATTGACAGAGTAAGCTGTTGGTTCATCCTCTTTTCGTGGTGTTGACTCGGACATTCTTTGCTGCCATGATGCCATCCTGGCTGACACTGGTTGAGCTGCAGGGTCACCTTTTTCTACCCTGGACTCCGCCTGAGTGGGAGCACTTGGATTCTTGGACTCTGAGAACTGTGGTTTGGATAGTGGTGGCTTATCAGAGATGGGAGTGGCCATCTGTCGGACTGGGTGCTGCACCCTGCTGACAGATGCTGTAGGGGTCGATATCTTCTGCTCCCACACAGCTTTTTTGGCAGAGACTGGTTGTTCAGATGGATCTACTGGCTTTTCCTTTTTTTAATTTAAAAAAAAGCAATCAGGTGTTAAAATATTAATTGAAATACATTCCAACATAAAGTTAACATAAAATCTTAACATAAACATGATAAATTTATGGGGTTGGGGGTCAATATTGGAACATGGAAAAGTTCTTTAATTAATCTGACAATGTGTGTGTGTGTGTGGGGGGGGGGGGGGGGGGGGAGAAAGCAGTACAATCTGTAAGTTGGTATTCCATACAATTATTTTTCCACCCCATTGTATGAATCATGTTACAAGTACTGTCTGTATGTTTAATCTGTTACAATCAGGCCAAATAAAAAAATATGCGTGGTTCCGGTTACCCGACCTTCCCTATTTTATACCCCCGACCCTAAACTTTTTTTTGGCAATTTTCATATTTTTTTCCGGAATTTCCCCCGATTTCCATCAATGGCTCCAGTTTTAGTTTCAGCAATGACATCCTCCTTGCAAAACATATTGCAAGTGTTTAATAGTGTTAAATCCAAAGCAAGCTAGCATGTAGGTGTCCCCTACCAATATTGACTAGTATATTATCACACGACATCTAAATGCCATTTGCAAAGCAGTGATAGGTATTATTTAGAAAAAATTAAGAAAATCATTTTGTTATCAGTCAGGGGTGAGACTGAAATCCGTCATTTCTGAAAAATGATGGATAATCGTCATATTTACTAACTACGTATTTTCGTCATTTTTGTCAATATGACTTACTATCGTCATATTTTCTTTTTCAACTTAATTCTTCTATCCTGGTTACATAAAAGCGAAATTTGAATTCACCGCTGAAAGAAGAGTGTTTACGCAAGTTTCATTTCATCCAGGTCACTAATTACTGCCAACCAAGTGCGTTAGAACATCAACATGGAAGGTGAAAGTTATTATTTAGCGGTAAAATGTCGAATTTTGGTAGAACTAATTCGCCATTTTTACATGGCTTTTAAACCTATAAAAACATATAGTACACCGTCTGGAAGAATACGTACTTGTAGAGAAAAGTCTCGACAAAAAGTTAAAGCCATAAAAAAGTAGTGCGCCCCGTAAAACAAGCGAGATATTTCAGTGCGCCCAGACTCTCCATTTTGAAAAAAGACGGCATATCGTCATTTTCGTCTTCTTTCCTATTTAATGCAAATAAATTGACAAATAACTCTTCCACTCTTATTTTTGCTTGGGAAATTTGTACTGTCGACATAACCAGTATTGTAGTCAACTGTATTAGAGAAATGAAGTTTGTTTATGATGTTTTTTTGTCCTTTTTTCGGTTGGTGGATGTAACATTTTTCAAAGAGAGGTAACTCGGTATTCTAGAAACACTCTAAATTTTTATGACTGTTTTTCGTCATTTTCTTAAAAATGACGAGTTTAAGTCATAATAAGAATTTTATTTTATGACTAAAAATCGTCATTTTAAAAATGACGGATTTCAGTATCACCCCTGACTGGTTATTAAAAAAAAAAAAAAAAAAAATCCCTACCTACCTACCCTAATTTTTTTTGAAGTGTAACCGGAACCACACATATTTTTTTGTTTGGCCTCATCTCCTTTATTCCAACAATTTAGACCAAAAAATTTCATTAAGTACATTCTGCATTCTATTTCACAGTAAACAGGACCTTAATCATTCTACTTTTAGTGAAAGGTATGAAAATTGCCTTCTTGTGAATGCTGCTGCTTCTCTACTTATTTTTTTTAAAAACATATTTACCTTTTTAGGAGTTTCAGAGGACTTCCAGCTATTGAGTCTCTCAGACACAGATTTAGAGGTGGCCTCCTCTTGTCTTTCCTTCTGTAATTGAGGTTTTCTATCTTCAGGCTTACTGCTACAGTTTGTCCACTGTTTACTGGCTGTGGTTGTAGGCGGTGGTGGGGCATGTGTTTTCTTTGGGGAAGGAACAACTGGGGCCGGTGGTGCTGGTGGGGGCTTCACTGACGACTGTGGAGGGCTTGGGGTAGTTTTCACTGGTGCTGGTTTGAGTGGACCTGTAACTGAGTCTGGTTTAGGTGGCTGCCATCTTGGTTTAGGTTCCTCTGGTTTGCTACAAAAGAAAAAAAAACAAACATTAAAAGCAACCAGGTACGTAACTGGTTCACCACGTTCTTTTTGATACTAAAAATAATCTTTCCTGACAAGAATTATATTTATCTATGCAATTTAAGGAATAACAGAGATTTATCTGAATTATTTTCCCACCATAATTTTATCTTTTTATTGACTTACTGAATTGTTGGGTGGCTCAAATCATCCTCCCAGGTACTGATGGTCTGAGCCAGGTGAGCAAACCGTCCCCTCCTTCCACTAGGAGCCCCTGTCTCTCCTACATTTTCCTTTGAAATCCCTGCTTCCTCCCTCTGAGAGGTGATATTGTTCTGTACTGGAACTTCTTTACCACTGTTACACACATCTGTTTCCATCTCTAATGTCAAATAAAGACAAAACATCAAAAAAACCAATAACTTGTCTATAAATTTTTATATTAAAAAAAACTACCCATTGTACATTGAGGATCTTAGCAGATGCACAGTTTTAATGAAAGCTAGCATTAAAATATGTATATGCTAGGTACCAATTCTAAGACTGTGTTGTAGTAACCAATTTGTCAAAATCGGTATTTAAAGTAGCTCACAGGTTTGCTGACGACACAACAGAATTCGTCGTAGAAAGCTTACCATTTTCATGGTACTGTATCAAACTATAAACAACTAAAAACATCTTTAACAGTGGACTGTTCAAATATTTATTTACATGTAATCATAAATAAAGGAATGCCTTCATCTCACTTTTGTTTACATTTTTTTTTCTGTCCATATAAATTAAAGCACTGTCCTGCTGTTGCTTCCATTGGGTGTTCAATGGTAGCAACTGCAACCTTCATATATCTGGGATTTACAGTGTCTGTGAAATTCTCTGTAACCCAACGATTTTGAAATCCATGAAACTTGCCTTCCTAGTCCAAATTCTCATTGAAAATATTCAAAATCCAATCATCTTTGTCACCAGGTTAAAATTCGCAGTTAATACCATCTATTTCTTCATCAATTGCATCTATTCCTCCTTCTATATCACCACTATCCAGCTCAATATTGCTACCATCACTGAAATCAATGTCTTGTCGCCATCTTGTTTTGGTTTGTAAAACCATGCATTTGTTTTCTTTGTTTCAATGCAAATTTCCCCCTCATAAACAAGTATCTAGTTCTACCTTTTTTTTTTTACTGCGCATGATCAATGGAAATATTGCTAATCTTAATTATACAAAAGTTTTACTTCATACCCTTATACTTTCTTTAAAAAGCGTCAAAGTGATGATGTGTGTTTCTACCACTCTATTCATATTCCATTCAATAAGATAGATACGCCTACAGGTGTATTGCATAAAAAATGGATTAACGATGCATACTTTTTACGTCACTGAGAAATATTTATGTTGTGCCAACATAATAGAATATGATTGATGGATAATTGTAAAAATTAAAAGTTTTCTTGCAAGAAATTGAGCTAGAACACATATTTTTTTGTATGGATTGATTCTAAATTATCTTCACATTTATTGTGTTAAATAAAATAAAATTTGTCTGGTTCATTTTAAAATTATGAGCTGGGTTTTGAAATGTGTTTACTGGAATGGAAGGTGCATTTTTACTACATATTATTTTGAAATGGTATCCTGTGTTTATCAACATTCAACATTGGTGCACTGGAGATACAATTACCAGGCATATGAATCTCAAAAAAATTTCAGAAATAACATTATGAAATGAATGGATTTAGCTAACAAATTTCAGTATATGTTTTCAACCAGACAATAAACCAGTAAGCTACCTTAAATAACCTGATGTAGTTTTCTTCATTTGTTGGAATTTAAATGAAAGTGTGGAACACATACAATCAAAGTCCTGTATAACTTTCACCAAAAATTTATTATCACTACAGTATTTGTCCCCAAAATTTGACACCAACTTTACCTGAGAAATGCTCTCTTTGTTTGGCTAAGGTCTGCATTCTAGACTTGACTCCATTTATAGCTGGTGTGTCTGGGTGAACTAGCTGTTCTTCATCACGTACACACTGCCTCTTCCCTGGGGAACCTAGGATCAAATTTCATTTTCAACTTATGAAGTCTATTTATTTAAAAACCATGCACACCTATATATCAATTTGTATTTAACTTATTTCCATTTTCTTAATTGAAATGTTGAAGCTTTATTTATCATTGTTTATCATATTTATTAACATTTTTTTTAATTCAAATTCCTCCCCCTCTCCCTCAAACTGACAAAATAAGTACTCCCTTGTCAGGTATGTAAGATATTACCATCCTTTGCAGTGAGAGACACAGCAGGTACATTTTCTCTCGCCAGATTCTGCTCTAGAATTCGCTTTCTTGGAGTCACATCTGGAGTTTTTCCCAGTTTCTGATTCAGAACTTCTCTACGATGTCGTGTTTTTTCTAACAGTCTCTGCAATCACAAAAAACAACTTTAACAAGTTTAAAAAGCACGTTGAAAATCTTTTCTGAGAAACAAAAATGTCTAGTAAAACTTGTACCTTTTCAATACTCTCAAAGACACCATGTCAATTAATTTTATCTCATTTCGATGAAGTTTTTATTTGTCAAAATGGTTGCAATCATTTCAGGAGTTACAACTCGGTTTCAATAATCTGTATTTTAACAGGCAACTGCCTTGAACTACCAGACACCTGGTCAAAGGCTTAAACTGCATGTGCTAAGGATATATAAACATCATTGGACTGCCAAAGCAAGTTAATGATACAAATTCCATCAAAATAAACTTGCTGTCTCTGGTTTAAAATCTAGACTTTCAAGTATTAATGCCTTTATTTTTGCTCTAAAAACACAGGAATTACGTCTGACAAGATTGATGTGTACAAATTATTTTTAAATTTTTTTATAGCAAGTACTTTAAATATTTAGGTCAGCATATATTTACAAAATTAAATTGAACATATTACCAGTATCAGTTGCTGATGATTAATTGACAATTTAAAAAAATCTAGCTTATACCCCAAGTTTCATAGCAAATAATAAGACATATATGATTATTGAGGAGAAACCTGTAGGTCGCCTGATGAGAGTTCCTGCTCGTTATATTTTTCAAGTTCCTGAAAGGATTCCACTGCGATCTCTTCAAAAGATCCCAATTTAGATATATCGATATTCTCGATTGTTTTATCTGCAAGTTCCTCAAACGAACTATCAGACCCCTCTCGTATGCTGTCCGACATCATTTTAAATGAACGTCTCCTTTTATCTTACCGCCAGTCTTCAATCTTTTTTGAATTTTGTGTTATCTCATCCCACGTGACCATGCATATTCTTAACCTTTGCACTTGCAAGGCAAAAAATTTGAAATATTGTGTATTCGATACAACAATATTTACCTCAAAACATAAGAAACCAATAAGTTTATCAATATATAACTATAACGATTTGTTTAAAAGCCCCGAAAATTCCTTCAATGAAATAAACGTAATTCATGCCATTGGCATCGTTTGAAAATCACAACAGTTAATCGGATCTAGATCTATGAGAAACCGTAAAATTTGAATAAGATATTCATTATCTGTACTCCTAATGCGACAAAGTTTGGCCATGAAAATGAATACTACTCACTTCTGTGTAAGGATCCATCGCTGAGCTTATAATCAGGCTAAAACATTTGAACACTAATCGCGTGGCACTTGTTTACAATATTTAAAATTGGCGGTTGGAAGTATCGCGCTTTCTCGTGAAGTCACGGCTCAGCAGAGAGTCCGCTAATCTACGGATAGAACGACTAAACCAAAAGTTAAACACAATATTTTAAATAAACATTTGAATTCACGAGGTGATGACATGTATAAGTTAATGATGTCTTAAAAATTTCATTTAAAGAATAAGATTTACAGCCCATAGGATATACCAGAGATCTAGTACAGAATCAAATTAATAGGCCTTAATCATATGCTTCATTTCAAACTGTAGGCCTATCGTAAATTTTTTATGACCCTAAATATCTATTCCGAAATTCCCCGTCATTCACTAAATAATGGCTAGATCTATATTTTAAATAAATCATCAAAATATGAACAGGAAAAAGTGAAATGCAGAAATATAATTTGAGAAGAGCAAGTGATACTAGGGACCTGGTAATATTAATGAACTGAATTGACTTAATTTTTAGTCCCCTACCGGTGAAACCGGAGGGGACTATAGGTTTTCTCTGAGTCTGTCCGTCCCTCTGTCTGTCTGTCCGTCTGTCCCTCTGTCTGTCTGTCAGTCTGTCCCACTTGGTTTTCCGCACTTTTTTCCTAAACGCTTGTAGATATTGAGCTGATTTTTGGTATGTGACTTTACCTTGATGAGTTACAGATCAAGTTTGTATTTCGTTCCGCTTCATTGATTTTTGACGAAATTATGGCATTTTCAATTTTTTACGGGAACCAGATTACACTTGCCGGTAGGGGACTAGTATTGCTAATGCAATACTCTCAGAATGCTTGTTTAAACATGATTAACGTATCTTTTCTAGTCTGGGTATGGTAAAGATTTTATGATGTCATGAAGTTCATTCTTTAACCATGTTAATAGTAAAATTCACAGACTAAGAGACAAAAATAAATTGAATCTATATTTGTCAGTATCTGAGGGACATACAAGTTTAGAATCTTTAAATAGCCCAACCATAGAGTTGTTCTGCATCCATTCGGCAAACCTCGGCTGATTCCGTCACCTTCATCAGATGAGGTACGAATCGGCCGAGGTGTGCCGAGTGGTTCTGCATCGTGATAGTCATGTGGTTTTCTGCGCACGTGTATTTGTTTTGACATTATGAAAAAGATGTATGTTTTATCAACTTTTTGTGTGGTTTTAACCTTTGGGTTTATTTCGACATCCCACTTGGAATTTACGACATTGGGTACCAATGGTGGTACCAGTTGCGCAGGCAAGTTTGTAACAACTCGTTAAACATGATTTTAACCTATCTAACGCGGAAGTAGATATGCATGTATTTCCAATCTCAAAAATCCCCATAATTCTAGTTTGCAATATTTAAGCACAACTTAACGTTTTACAACTTGCAGGCACGATACGTAGTATCGGAAGGAGGGGTGCCCCCTCTTTTTTCCAAACATTACTGTTGAAAATGATTATTATAATTAAAAAGCTGGTTGCCCCCTCCCCGTCACTTTTTGTTTGCAGCATAGTTAAATCATGGTAATTAGGTATAATGTATTATAAAATTTTGTTGCAAAAAGGGCTGGGACCCCCCCCCCCCCATTTTAGGAGTTTGGGCAGTCCCCCTGCTCTCTCTCACTTCAGTTTTTATTTCAGGTATGTGGTCTATTTTTTCTGACTGCCCCCTCTCCCACTTAATGGCGCGTCACAAGATGTCATAAATTTTTGTTGATATATTACATGTTGTTCATAGGTCAAGGAAGGGAGTAGATAGGGCACCCAATCACTAAATTTAAAGATCTGTGTTTTTTGTTTTTTGTTTTCAGTGTGTACAGTGGTGCTCGGTCTGGCAGAGCAACTCTCTGTGATTCATAATGAGACAGTAGTCAAGGGACTTGAGAGAATCTGTAACTTCCTGCCCGGCTCTTACCAAGGAGCATGTAAAGAGTTTACCGACTTCATCGCTGCTGATATTATCAAAGTGTAACGTAAAATGATATCAATCCTTGGCATATAGTGTAAAGATTTTAGGCCATGGTAAATAATATCTTTGATTTACGTCCTTTTATTCTTCTAAAAAGTAACCATCCAGTTCGTCTGAGTAACAAACATATTTTTAAAACACTTTCAATAATAAGCAAATGGTAAGCTAAAAGAAAGCTTTGATCATGATATGTTGTCATTCTCTATTTTCTAGTATTAAAAAAAAATTTCAATTTCATACAATAAGGATGTCAAAGCATTTATATCATGGAATGTACTTGAATTTCTTTGAAGATTTGCTTCCTTCTTAAATAAAGGTTTTTGAATTGTTGCATTTCAAAGAGCCATACTCTTGACGCGGAATAAACAGAATTGCATCAAAGGTTTAGAGAGGGTAGCCTAAACATCGAATAAATATTGGAAAGAACCGAGAAAAAGAGCAGTTGATTGATTAACTAAGTTGTAATTATTTCACTGCTTTTTTGGAGGGGAGAGGGTCTGAAAACTTACCATAAGAACAGAATTAATTTATTATGGCCTTCTATTTACTGTTGTTTAATGTTACATACATGTACAACACTGTACAATAGCTTTAAAGATAACTAAACCTTTAAAAATATTTGGAGAAACTTAATGGTTAAACCCGGCTTTATTTCTGACAGGTTCTCAAGAGACGACACAGCGGACACAGCATGTCACAAGTTATCGTTCTGTTTCACAGAGCCCCATACAGAAATGTGTCACATCTTCCCCATCAGACCCAAACAAAGACTTCAACTGCAATTATTTCAGGTATACACTACAGTGATCGATCTCATTTCTACAATAATATAATAGTAATATAAATAAGAAGGTTGTGTTTCACTATTTACTATTGCGTTAACTTTCAGACACATAGATCTCATCGGATTGGAGCGAATATATGCGATTTACCCGGGATCAAAAGGATATGCACTTGGATTGATGAGTAAATTTTAAAATCATTTCTTTAAATTTTCATAGATAGTAAATTTAAATCAGAGTATATCTTATTGCAAGTTCTTAAAAATCATATTTTTATTAAAAACATTAACTACAACTTTGTTTATTAAAATACTGAACACAATAAACGTTGCAAGCATATTTTAAGAGATATTGAGAGTTGAAATTCAAATAGGGCGATATGCAATATTTCAATTGAATTTCGGCGCCATGCCGCGGCAGTTCAGTGATAGATAAGAATCTGAACACTGTTTATAACGGAATTGTTGTATTGGTATGATTATAAAAGAAAAGGTAATTAGTAAAAAAAAAAATCCCATCACCTTTCAACTACAGGTTTTATTCTAACTATCCCCCGACGCCCTTCTGAAATCGACGATGATTCAATCGCTTAATTATGTACAAATGAATATAGATTGATTAAAAATATTTTGTAAAAACCGGCTAGGTTTTTAATTTATTTCGTTTTACCGAATCTACTATAGTTTGAAAAAAATATTCACCTTTTTCTGTTTGTTATTCTAAAACATTTAGAATATGTATTTGTATAACCAGCTCTGATTACAGTAATGTTTTGAGATGGGGAAATTTACTTGAGACTGCCATCCTTTACAAAATATATGCAGTTACATTTACATAAATTGATGTTATTTTATAGATAAACAATAACAAGACTCTATTTGCCAATGTTGTGAATAAAAAAAGCCTTATACGTTAGATAAGATGACAAATCAACTTGTATATTGTAAACGGAGGCGATTTTCTTCCTCTTCGCCGCGTATCCCTCCCTATCGTCGCTGTTAACTGGTTAATCTTTAGCTCACCTCAACGAAGTTAGGGGGAGCTTATGTAATACCATCGGCGCCGGTGTCGGCGACGATGTCCTAGGTTAAAGTTTTTGGAGCAGATTTCTTTTCAAATACTCCTATGCCCTATGTTAACCAGAGATGCATGGAGGATGCTTCTAGTATTCTTCAATGTACCAGTCAAGGTTTCAGATGCTGCAATTTCAGCTACAGGTTAAAGATTTTGGAGCAGGTCTCATTTCCAAGTTACTATAATCCCTATATTGACCAAACTTGCATGGATGATTCATCTAAGGATGGACACTACCAGACTTGCTTCGGATGCTGGATCTGACCTATATTTTCCAGATGAGTGACCAAGTTAAAGTTTTTAGAGCAGGTCTATTCCCAAGTAACTATTAGCTCTACCTGGGCCAAACTTGCATTGAAAATGCAGCTAGGAATGCATACTACCAGACTTGATGTTGATGCTGGATCTGACCTACATTTTCCAGATGAATGACCAGGTTAAGCTTTTTGGAACAGGTCTATTCCCAAGTAACTATTAGCTCTAACTGGACCAGTTTGCATGGATAATGTATCTAGGGATGGACACTACTAGACTTGCTTTGGATGCTGGATCTAATCTTTATTTTCCAAATGAGTGAATTTTAGCCACTCTTTAACCAAATTAGCATGGATGATGTATCTATGGATGGACACTTCCAGGTTTGCTTCGGATGTGAATCTGACCTACATTTCCCAGATGAGTGACCAGGTTAAATTTTTGGAGAAGGTCTCATTTCCAACTATAACTATAAGCCTTATGTTGACCGAACTTGCATGGATAAAACATGTAAGGATGAACACTACTGGACTTGCTTCGGATCTGACCTACATTTTCCAGGTGAGTAACCAGGTGAAAGTTTTTGGAGCAGATTCATTACCAAGAAACTGTAAGCCTTATTTTGGCCAAATTTGCATGGATAATGCATCTAAGGATGCACACTACTGGACTACTGGACTTACTTCTGATGCTGATTACTACGTTATAACAATCCAATATATTTATATAATACAAAGAGAACGTACTTGACTAATTTCATGTTATACAGAGATTAATTAAGAAATGAATTTAATTTTTGAAGATTCATGAGGACATGAACTACGACGCTTCACGCCGGCATATTTCATGAAGCGCGTTAGCGCTTCATGATAAATATGCCGGCGTGAAGCGTTGTAGTTCATGTACCTCATGAATTTTCAAAAATTAAATTTATTTCTTATATTTACATTATTTTCTGATGAGTTACCACAATTAAAAACCGTCATTTTTAAAGCAAACAGTTTGCACTATAGTTTTGACGTCAAGTACGGTATTATGACGTAACAATGGAGATATTCATGCTCATCCACGGTAGTTCATGAGAAAATGAACAGTCTTCTAATTTGTAAAGAATCTTAAGGAAAAATATTTGGAAATGTAAATATTCTCATATAAACTTTGTAGACAGTGTTTGTCAGATTGTTATTTATTTCAATATTATATGAATTAATTCCTATTATGATTGACATTATAATGTTATTTATTTCTTTAGTATATTCAGTAAACATGACCCTGCTGTAGACTATTATATGAATTCCTATTATGATTGACATTATAATGTTATTTATTTCTTTAGTATATTCAGCAAACATGACCCTGCTGTAGACTATTATATGAATTCCTATTATGATTGTCATTATAATGTTATTTATTTCTTTAGTATATTCAGTAAACATGACCCTGCTGTAGACTATTATATGAATTCCTATTATGATTGACATTATAATGTTATTTATTTCTTTAGTATATTCAGTAAACATGACCCTGCTGTAGACTATTATATGAATTCCTATTATGATTGACATTATAATGTTATTTATTTCTTTAGTATATTCAGTAAACATGACCCTGCTGTAGACTATTATATGAATTCCTATTATGATTGACATTATAATGTTATTTATTTCTTTAGTATATTCAGTAAACATGACCCTGCTGTAGACTATTATATGAATTCCTATTATGATTGACATTATAATGTTATTTATTTCTTTAGTATATTCAGTAAACATGACCCTGCTGTAGACTATTATATGAATTCCTATTATGATTGACATTATAATGTTATTTATTTCTTTAGTATATTCAGCAAACATGACCCTGCTGTAGACTATTATATGAATTCCTATTATGATTGTCATTATAATGTTATTTATTTCTTTAGTATATTCAGCAAACATGACCCTGCTGTAGACTATTATATGAATTCCTATTATGATTGACATTATAATGTTATTTATTTCTTTAGTATATTCAGTAAACATGACCCTGCTGTAGACTATTATATGAATTCCTATTATGATTGACATTATAATGTTATTTATTTCTTTAGTATATTCAGTAAACATGACCCTGCTGTAGACTTGGATGGAGATTTTCACAGTGTGTATCAAGTAAGTCAAAGTTCCTCCTGAATTAACAGCAGTTATTATTATGTATAAAATTATACCCAATGAATCCAGTATAACAACAGGTGTAATGCTATTGCATAGGGATGTTTTTTTTTCTGGGGGGGGGGGGGGGACAGAAAATCGGGATTAGCTAGATGGTACACGGTTAACCAACAAGAGTTATCAATCTTTAGTGTGGTATTACGTATGTTGAATGTGTGCAGGTTGTGTTAACCTTTGCTTTCAAATTAATTCTCATAGTAGAAAAAGTGCTATCTTAACTTTGACTATAACTTTTGAACGGTTGGTAGTAATAGAGTTTTCATAATTGTATTCTTTGTGACAAGACCTTTCTTTGTGTATCAATATTTTTGCCCTCTTGACCTTGACCTTTGACATACATTTGTAAAACTTTCACATTGGCCATGAGCTGCTAGAAGGGGACATCAGGGTTTCAAAAACACATGTTGTTTTCATTAACATCTTTTCAACAACTAAACCATGATACTGCATGGTATTTAATACACTTCATTCTGATTCTTTCGTAGTGGATAAGAATCTGCTACGAATTAAGGAAAACCAGCAAAAAGGAGAGCTACAGTGCCAAAGAATGAGAACGCAAAATTATCAAAGTACGCGAAGGGAGCCAAATTGTCCATAAATGTTAATAAAACTACAAATAAAGGCCAAGATTTCATTTTATACACAGGGGCTAGTAGCGAAATGTCAATCAATTTCAAGCACCCAATGATGGACCTTAATTCACTTGATTGACGGGATATTCTGAGGGCGGTGCTTATTATCTCGGGCTTTAAAGTCTCATAAAAAGTAGGTCAAATTCAAGGTCAAGAGATAAAAAATGTCGGTACGAAAAGAAAAGCCTAATGTCATAAGAAATTCACAAGACAAATACAAAAGAGCTGGACTAACCGTTCAGAACTTATAGCCAAGGTTGAAATAGTCAAATTACAAGGTCAAGAGGAAAAAATGTTTGTACCTAAAGAAAGATCTTGTCACTAGAAATACATAAGGTAAATAAGAAAGCCCTATCACCAACTGTTCAAAAGTTATGGCTAAGGTTAAAGTTTTCTAAAAGTGGGTCAAACCAAGGTCAAGAGAGAAAAGATTTTGGTTCCCAAAGAAAGATCTTGTCATAAGGAATTTACAGTCATGTGAAATATGAAAGCCACAGCCAGAACCGTTCAAAAGTTATTCCAAGGTTATACTTGGTTAAAAGTTTTAAAAATATATGTTAAACTCCAAGGCCAAGGCCAAGAAGTAAAAAATGTCAGTACCCAAAAGTCAGGTTTTATCACAAGAAATGCACAAGTGAATATATGAAAGCCCTAACACCAATCAGTTATAAGGTTTAAGTTTTTGCGGACAAACAGAAAGAGAAACAGATCAAAAACTATATATGTCCCCGAAACTTCAATTACAGAGACATAAAACAAGATGTGTTTGTGAAACACTGATGCCCCCGTATGGCAGCTTATGGCGAAGGTTAAAGTTTCTTCAAATGCAAGTCAAAATCCAGGCCAAAAGATAAAAAATGTTGATACCCAAAGAAAGGTCTTGTCTCGAGGAATACACCTGTGAAATTTGAAAGTCCTAGATACAACTGTTCAAAAGTTATGGCGAAGGTTAAAGTTTTTTAAATAAAAGTCAAACGTCAAGGTCAAAGTCAAAGTGGTTGGTATCCAAAGGAAGATCTTGTCACAAGGATTACATATGTGAAGTATGAAAGCCCTAGCACCAACCATTCAAAAGTTATGGCCAAGGTTAAAGTTTTTCAAAAGTAGGTCAAACTCCTAGGTCAAGGTCAAAGGGTCAAAGTGGTTGGTATCCAAAGGAAGGTCTTGTCACAAGGATTACATATGTGAAGTATGAAAGCCCTAGCATCAACCATTCAAAAGTTATGGCCAAGGTAAAGTTTTTCAAAAGTAGGTCAAACTCCTAGGTCAAGGTCAAAAGGTCAAAGTGGTGGTTGGTATCCAAAGGAAGGTCTTGTCGCAAGGGTTACATATGTGAAGTATGAAAGCCCTAGCTCCAATCATTCAAAAGTTATGGCCAAGGTTAAAGTTTTTCAAAAGTAGGTCAAACTCCTAGGTCAAGGTCAAAGGGTCAAAGTGGTTGATATCCAGAGGAAGGTCTTGTCACAAGGAATACACATGTGAAGTTTGAAACCCCAAGCACCAACTGTTCAGAAGTTATGGCCAAGGTTAAAGTCTCATAAAATTTTGCAAAAGTGGGTCAAACTCCAAGGTCAAGGTCAAAAGGTCAAATATGATGGTCCCAAAGAAAGGTCTTGTCACAAGGAATACACATGTGAAATATGAAAGTCATAGCTCCAACCAATCAAAAGTTATGGGCAAGGTTAAAGTTGACAACAGACAGACAGACAGATAAACGGACAAACAGACAGATAGGACAAAAACAATATACCCCCGGGATCTTTCGATCCGGGGGCATAAAAAAATTATCCCTGTTGAAAATGACCTATTCAAATTATTATTTTGAGCTATATAGACATGTAAATTTGGACTATACCGATAAATTCTTTGGCATGGTAAATAAGGTATAGTGCTCCATGCAAATGAACAGGTATATACATGTATTGCGACTGATCACAACAATCAATAATTCCTTTAATGCATTGTGGATATTCTACAGTCTGGTCATATCATCCAAAGCGATTTCTTTTCAAGTTTTAGAGATTTAGTCAGAATTTTCTATCATATACTTTGTTTTTTTTCCCTGCTTCATATGTTGTATCGTTGGAAGCCTTTTTATTTGTGAACAAAATAACTCTAAACAATGGTGCCGTGCCCTCTATTGCTGTATTGGATGGGATCATAAATTCGACTTAAATTTGCCTTTTCTCCTTGTTTCTTAATTTGTACACTAAGGAGATGGACGGACATAGCGTGCAGAAAGCCTACAGCTTCAGATACATAAAAATCATGTTCAATTTGTGAATTTAGTATTTAGAGTAAAGTTCTCATTATTGAAATTTATGAAATTATGATAAACAAAACTTTTCTGAGGAAAATTTTCTCGGCCAAATGTGGGGTTCGAACCCAAAGCAATCAGGCCCGTAGGAAGCAATTTCAGTTTTTTTTTTTTTTTTTGGGGGGGGGGCACAGACATACATTTTCAGTTGAGGGGGCACTATCAACTACCAAAATTTCTTGACAAGCAAAGAAAAAAAAGAAAGAAAAAAAAGCTCATCAGACGTTTTTATTGAGGGGGCACAAGCATATAGTATCTATGTTTTCTATAGTAATCTATATATCGGCAAAATTATTGCCCCCCCCCCCCCCCCGGTTCCTACGGCCATGGCAATAAAAATCCTGAGTATCATTTTCTATCGAGAGTAGCATGCTAACCACTAGACTACACAAGTCCTGATGAAGGGTGGCATTTAAATCATGTTTGTGATATGACCCTTGACTTAATGGACTTCAAGTATTTCTCGAAAAGATGCGAATGTTGTGTATTTTCATGCAAACTTTGAGGATTAACTTTCAAAAAAATGGAGCGAAGACCCACTCATATCGAAAAATAGTATTATAGTATGAGAAAATGATTCTTTTTGCCCTCTTTGGTGTGTGTACACTATTTCATAGGCAAATAAGTTCAATCTTTGAGGGATTTTTGCAAATTGTAGAGATTCTACATAAAGTATATCTTAATGTTAAGTGAAATAACAAGGAAAATTTTTAATATAATTGAGATTTAATTTTTCACCTTCATGTTTGTCACGCTATATGCTTTTCGCTCGTCATGTTCACCTATCTTCTTTGTACACAATTTGATGATTTTTTTTATCGTTTAATGATTTCACAGACTTTAAGAGGGACGTCTTGGAGAGGAAAAGATTGTGATGACGAAAGAAAAGCGTTTCATCCTGGTGCAAAGTATGTGTAACATTGGTCATACTCATATAGTCACACAGTTATATATATATGTGTATATAGTCAATCATGGATACTCACATAGTCATAGATACTCGCATAGTCATAGATACTTACATAGTCATATAGATACTCACATAATCATAGTAACTCACATAGTTATAGATACGCACATAGTCATAGATACATAGTCATAGTAACTCACATATAGTCAAAGATACTCATATAGTCATATAGATACGCACATAGCTATAGTTAAGTTGTCATATTTAAGAAAAGTATATATTTATATGTTCTACCACTAGGCTGATTTAATTAAGCACATTTTATTGATACATTATCAATCGGATTAGCGACAAGTTGTTTTTTTTTTTCAACTTAGGTTGTCCTCTCCAATACAAAGAAAATACCACTTTTTGCTCATATGTCCAAAGAATCCAAAAATAAATAAATAAAATGATACCAGAATATTTTGAATTTGACGTGAATGCATGAAGGTTATTAATGGTACATTCTCAGCTACAGAGACAAACTTGTATTTTTTGTTCGTTTTAAACTTGAATGATTATTTTTTCTGATTTTGAATTAATTCTTGATTCAGACCAATAAATGGAGACAAAAGCATAGATTCCAACTGCAATGGCATATACGTGAGTTGTGAATAATTGAATAATTATCATATAGTAATAAAAGTAAGTTGTGTCTTCTTTCCCTTATCAGACCATCAAATATAAGGAAAATGTATAGTCAAGTCAAAACATGTAGCATTTATTTTATCTAGGGTGTGAACCCTGCGAATGGGCGTGGTTATGAAGAGGAATTGTGCGGGACCAGCCAACCACGTGGTGTCGCTGTTCTCGGCGACTCCATTAGTGCTCATTTCCATCTGCCAAGGGAATGGTTCAACGCCACTGAGATGTCTCTTGTAACACATATCATTCAATTATAAGAGGAGAATTTCTGCAAACATACCTTTTTTTATTCGTTTTTTTTTAAAATACAAATATTTCTCTGCTTGCTATTTATAGAAAGTGTTCGAACCTCTTCCATTTATGTTGGAGAATGAACTCGACTGGCCAGAATTCTCATCGACCACAGGTAGGATGTAATCAACAGTTTGAGCCTCATTTATCTTTTTTCAGTGCAGTGTCTAGATAAAATTGGATAAAAATTGTTTTTCTTTTTTAAATAGCTTTCATGAACAACACAGAAAAGTTCCATGATGTTATACACGGACCCGTAGATTCCATGTACATGAGAATGTTTGATAGGAATCATTGTAACCACCGGGACTACCAGAACATTGCTGTGAACGGTAAATATTCCGCACGGACTCTTGTCATATCTTTTGCACAGTACAAATCATATTTGTTTTTCATTCATGTACCGCGTGTATACAAGAAATGATATACCGATAAAAGATGCAAAAGAAGCATGTTGAACCCCCTCCATCTGAGGTATAGTACCATTTGACCTTTATCCGACCTTGAATCCGACATAGTTCTATTCCCATTAGACCTTTATCCGACCCTGAATATCACATTGACCATCTCTTGCTTTAAATTGGAACCACTTTCAAAAGATCAAAATTCTCTTAATTTTAAAGACCATTTTCAGTTTCTTTAATTATAAGTCTCATGTATTTTAACTTTTTACCAAAATAAAGCTATGAACAGACAACGGTGAACCTAAAAAAAAATTGAAATCAAACTATGTGTTTTAACAGCTGTTAATTTATCAATACAATCTTCTAACGCTACTCTTAATAAATAAGCCTGTTTTAATCTCCATTTTATAACATTAAGTCATAATTTACATGCTTGATTTTTGTTTTAGCTGAAATTTAATATCTTTGAATTTCTCAGGAGCAAGAGCATCCTCAATGGCCGATACCATTCAGTTTAGGTATGCTAAAAACCAATGTATCATTTACATATGTACATCACAAACCTAATATCTTCCTAAAATCATCAGAAGTCACTGACCCTGCTATAACAAAACCAAACATAACAATGCACTATGTCAGTTCAGTCCTTCATTATGGGTCATATAAATCATACAATATATTATATAACAAAACAACATTTTACTGATTTTTTAAAACTGTTCTGATAATTATTTGTTATCAAAGAACATTGCCCCCCTAAATTATTTATTTCTTTAATACTTGTTATAGAAAGCAATTGTATTATTTTAAAGACATCTGGTCTTGGGGAGTAGTGATTTTTGATAAAATTGTTTCTTAAATTACATAAAACTGGACAGATAATAAAAAAATGAAATTCATTTACAATATGATCTTAATTAAACAAATCATATTTCTTTAAGTACACTTGCAAACATAAATAATCAGCTAATGTAAATATAAAAAAGCAATTTGGTGAACCACATATATCAGATATAACTCTCTGTTTACAACCATTGTACGTCCTGAAGTAATACCTATTATAATAATACTCTCATCTTTTAGATTATTATGATAGTGTTCAGCCAAACCTACATTCCTTCATTCAATTCATCTTTATTTGTATAATTACCCAAAACAACAGTACAAACTGTTTTGTTTTTCAAGGTTTTGAAGGACAAATATAGTCTCAGTTGTACTTGATCTGATCATATATGATATATTTCTGGTCCCATTCTAACAATCTATCATTCAAAACACATTTTATCAGTGAAGAACAATTAACATATATAGGCTATACCTCTGTTATCATTTTGGTATTAAAATCATATAAATTATAAATTTCTTGTTTTGAAAATAGTTCCTAGTTATATATCCCAGTGAGCTTGAAAAAAAAGATACCACAGAGTCTGACACATCTGTTTCATATTTGGATTTTTATTAGATTAATCTAACGACAAAGCTTTATGGCTTTAACTTTTCAATCGTCAATTTCCCTTACTTATGCAACCCTTATCACCTGCATATGGAGTATATATCGCTCAGTTGATTCGATACGCAAGAGCATGTTCTGCGTATGAACAATTACTAAAACGCGGTAAGATGTTGACAAACAAGTTGATGAAACAAGAATATCAGCTGTCTCGTTTAAAGTCATCATTTCGTAAGTTCTATGGTCGATACAATGACCTTGTCAGCAAATACAATTTATCATTGAGTCAAATGCTGACTGACGTTTTTCATACTATAATTGTTAGGCCATTATTTACACACTGATTTGTCGACGTATTTTTCCGTTATTTACCGATCATGGCAAGGAGCACACGGCGGGTGTGACCGGTCGGCAGGGGATGCTCACTCTTCCATGGCACGTGATCCCACCTCTGATGTTTTAGAGGTCCGTGTTTGCTCTGCTCCTGATTTGTATTGATTTAATGCACTTTGAGCTTGAATACTCTTCGTTATCTCATTATTTCATTCCAGGTTACGAGGTAGACTATAAATTCTAGAGTTGCAAACCCTTAGGATAAAAAAAATGACTTAATATGCATGCAAGTCATAATATATTTAATGTTTTCTTTTTGAAAATATGTGATGCTTAAAACAAAAATTAATTGATATGGATAATTCACTGTTTATAGCTACCATGATTGTAAACCATTTTGCATTCATTACTTGCAGTTGTAGTGATTTATAGAATTTTAATTTGTTTTAAAAAGTCTCAGAAGAAACATCACAGATGACCAGCCAATGATTGTCTTCTATGCTCTTGTTGGTAATGACGTCTGTAACGGGTTAGTATTAATGGACGTCCACTGAATAGATCGCAGTTAATTAAGTTTTCCTATAGTTTTTGAATCACCATACAAAAATACACGCACCTTCTTTTGTAGACACCACGATACATTTAACCACATGACAACTGTGGAAGAAATGAAGAATAAATCCATCAGCACATTGAACTTCTTAGTAAGTTTTCTATATGTACGATGTGATGTTTAATGAACAATTTGATTCAGTTTTCATAACAAACAATAATGAACAATTTATGGTTTAGTAAATAAGTTACAAGCAGTTGACTGATTTAAGATTCTATCTTGTGTAATAATTGAACACAATTTACTGTAAATTCTCCTTCATCTTAGACAAAGGTTCTTCCGAAAGAGAGTCATGTGTTTTTCGTTGGACTAGCAGACGGAGCTGTTTTGTATAGAGCGCTTAGTGACAGGGTTCATCCGATTGGATCTCTGCGGAATGACGTCACTTACTCCAACTTCTATGATTATTTCAATTGCTTAGAGGTAAATACACAATTCATGAAAATCTGATGAAAGAAAAAAATTCTCAAACTGCATATTGTTTAAAATGCTTATTAATATTTTTATTTTTATGAATTCCCTGCATTGTAGATATCCCCATGTTTAGGTTGGATGAATACTAATGCAACGATACGAGATCTCACAACAAAGGTATAGCACTACCCACCTGTTGTATAGACTACCTCAGGCTGGTGATGAACTGTGATGTTAATTGACCATATCATATTAAATAATAAATAAATTAAATATAAAAATACACCCAGAGATTGTCTATTTTATTTCATTATTAGTTCTTTGTGATAGTAAAATACCTATCATTCAACCATCTGTCGGCTTATTTCTTTCATTTTTTTTTTCATTTGATGAACGGTGTTCGCCATGTGTATTAAAAATAATTAGCATTTTTTTTCTTTTTTCAAAACGATATTCTTCTAAGCAAGAAATTAAGAGACAATATGCACCGAGGTACATCATTCTGACATTCATTTTCTGAATTCAACGAACTTTTTGCCATGGTTGATAAAAAAAACAATTAAAGACAAAGAAAATGAAGAAGTTTAGATTATCCATTTAAACCAGTAGAGCTACGGTCTCATCAGAGAGTTATGACGTTATACATTACAAAGATTATAATTGTTTTGTAGAGAGCCATTGAGCTGAGTGAAGCACTGAAAGAGGTCGTGGTATCTCACCAATCATCGTTCTCAAACTTTAAATTATATTACCTGGACAATCCGATAGATCAAGGTATTCTCTAACTTTAAATTATATTACCTGGACAATCCGATAGATCAAGGCATTCTCAAACTTTAAATTATATTACCTGGACAATCCGATAGATCAAGGTATTCTCAAACTTTAAATTATATTACCTGGACAATCCGATAGATCAAGGTATTCTCAAACTTTAAATTATATTACCTGGACAATCCGATAGATCAAGGTATTCTCTAACTTTAATTTTTATTACCTGGACAATCCGATAGATCAAGGTATTCTCAAACTTTGATTTATATTACCTGGACAATCCGATAGATCAAAGTATTCTCAAATTTTGGATAATATTACCTGGACAATCCGATAGATCAAGATTTATCTAACTTAAGATTACAGTACCCGGTCAATCCGATAGATCAAGTTTTTCTCTAACTTTGAATTATATTACCTTGACAATTCGATAGATCAATGTAAAGTTTCTATTAGAGATATATTCGAAGACTCCTTTTCCGATCCCATGTCTTCTATTTCAAAATGTTCTGCAAAAAACTGTAAAACCTGTGACATTTTGATAACTAACACTTCTTTCACCAGTAATCTTACTGGACAGAGCTTCTGTACCAAAACTTGGGAAAATCTGAACTGCAAATCTTCTAATGTTGTCTACGGAATAGAATGTAATCTTTGTGGACTTGTTTATGTTGGTGAAACCAAGGGATCACTCAATAAAAGAACATCAGGTCATAGATTTCAGATAAATAATGGGGGTCAGCAACTTTTATACAAACATTTTAATTTACCTGATCATTCAATTTTGTCAATGAAAGTTAGAATTCTGGAAAAGATTTACCACCACACAAACAGTCCATCACTGAGTACACCTTTCCGTAGACAACGAGAAGAATTTTGGATAAGAAAGCTAGGGACGACCTTTCCCTATGGATGTAATGATAATGTCGATAGAGTTGGGAATCTTTCCAGTCCACAGTGTAACAATGTAAATGTGATGGGACTTTTTAACCATACACAGAGACGTAAGCGTAGTCATGGGAATCGGTCTTACAATAAACCTTTAATACACGATGTCTCTTTTGATTCATTACTACCTTACGTAAATCAACAGTTAGGGTTACATCATATTCGCACCAAACTTTACTCTGTCCCTTTGAAACTTTTAAATAGTCTTCTTGAAAAGGTCAAGGAAAGTCCATTTTTTGATTCTTCGACACCAGAATATAGGCTCGGATCTGTAGTTATGGATATTGCCAATCACAGGCTTTTTAAACCCCAGCGTTTTACTGAAGAAAATGCAGCTAAAACAATCCGTTTTTTCCTTAAACTTCAATATGCCAACAAAGGAATTGACGCGGTTAATATAAGTAATATCCTTAATCACAAAAGGGTCCAGTCTTGTATTCCACCATATTTCAAGTTAAAGACTACACCTTGTATTTCCTACAAATATACATCGACTATTGCTTCCAAACTTTTTAATTACAGGAAAACTTTACAGGGCCTGGATATCGAATAACTGAAACATAATCCTCCATCGTGTTCATGTTCTTCTTCGCCCTATAACTATAGTCCTGCTGGACACGTTATTACTGGTGACGTAAATATAGTTAATAATGAGGATCTTAGATCACTAATTTTAAAAGGTCCTAAATTTAAGGAACCCAGATCCTTCAACTGGCGTAAGAATTTCATAAATATTATGGATTCTGTAGAGGACTACGCCAGGCGATGGGTCAGACATGAAAAAGAAGACCTTGACACTTTGTCAGAATGGATTAAATGTATCAGATGTATGTTAAAATCGCGCATTAAAAGATTGAGAGGCAATATGAAAACCATCTATCCTTCTGTATTCAATAATCCAGAAGTGAAAAAAGAATTAGATAGATTACATGATCAGTACGTACTGGTCCCTGCTGACAAAGCAGGTAACAACATTGTCTTTGTTTGTAAGGCTCATTATTTTAAATGTATTTTAGAGGAACTTGGATTTAATTCTACAAGTGGTAATCCAACTTATACTCAAAGTTCCCTTTCTAAGGAAGAAATTCTTCAAAATCATATGTCAGTTTTGAATATTTTTAATATTCCAAACAACCAAAATGAATTCGAATTACCTTATTTATATTGGATTCCGAAACTTCATAAAAATCCTTACAAACAAAGATACATAGCGGGTTCCAGTAAATGTTCAACCAAGCCTCTATCTTTACTCCTCACTAAGATATTAACAGTGGTGAAGGAGAAACTTCAAGAGTACTGTGCAACAATATATTCGACAAGTGGTGTAAATCAGATGTGGATACTTAAAAATTCCAAGGAACTTTTGAAAAATTTGAAATCACAAGATTTTACCAAAATCAACTGCTTAAAAACTTACGACTTTTCAACTTTATACACAACCATTCCCCACGATAAATTAAAGTCCAGGCTTTTTGATATCATTGACAGCTGCTTTTTCAATAAAAATGGAACTCGTAAATATACTTACCTTGTCATTGGTCATTTGCAAAATTATTTTGTTAAAAAACATTCTGATTGTACACACAAGTACTCTGAAGTTGACATTAAAAAGATGCTTGAGTTTCTGATTGACAATATCTATGTGGTTTTTGGAGACCAGGTCTTCCAACAATCTATTGGAATTCCTATGGGTACCAATTGCGCCCCGTTATTAGCAGACCTTTTTTTGTATTCATATGAAGCAGAATTTGTCCAAAATCTTGTACGTGAAAAGAAGAAAACACTTGCTGTGGCGTTCAACTCGACATTTAGATATATCGACGACGTATTGTCAATTAACAATGGCTATTTTCATTCTTATGTCGATACGATATATCCTGGTGAACTTGAGATAAAAGATACCACAGAGTCTGACACATCTGTTTCATATTTGGATATTTTACTTGAAAAAGACGTTAATGGTAATCTAACAACCAAGCTTTATGATAAACGTGATGACTTTAACTTTTCAATCGTCAACTTCCCTTACTTATTCAGCAATATATCTTCATCACCTGCATACGGGGTATATATCTCTCAGTTGATTCGATACGCAAGAGCATGCTCTACGTATGTACAATTTCTAAAACGAGGTAAATTATTGACAAATAAGTTGATGAAACAAAAATATCAGCTGTCTCGTTTAAAGTCATCATTTCGTAAGTTCTATGGTCGATACAATGACCTTGTCAGCAAATACAATTTATCATTGAGTCAAATGCTGACTGACGTTTTTCATACTAATTGTTAGACCATTATTTACACACTGAATTGTCGACGAATTTTTCCGTTATTTCCCGATCATGACAATGAGCACACGGCGGGTGTGACCGGTCGGCAGGGGATGCTCACTCCTCCATGGCACCTGATCCCACCTCTGATGTTTGGAGGTCCGTGTTTGCTCTGCTCCTATTTTGTATTGTATAATGGACTTTTGAGCTTGAATACTGTTCGTTATCTCCATATATTTCATCAAGGTATTCTCAAACTTTAAAGTATATTACCTGGATAGTCCAATAGATCAAGTTATTCTCTAACTTTGCATAATATTACCTGGACAATCCGATAGATTAAGTTATTCTCTAACTTTGAATTATATTACCTGGACAATCCGATAATCAAGGTACCCTCTAACTTAAGATTACAATAACCGGACAATCAGATAGATCAAGTTATCCTGTAACTTTAAATTATATTACCTGGACAATCCGATAGTTCAAGGTATTCTCTAACTTAACATTATATTACCTGGACAATTCGATAGATCAAGGTTTTCTGAATTGTATAAATCTGAGCAATTCGATAGACCCGATGGATCAAAGCATTTTCTTATTTAATTTAAATTATATAAGCTGAACAATCCGATAGATCAATATATTTTCTAACTTTGAATTGTATTATCTGGACAATTGGATAGATCAGGTTATTTCTAACTTTAAATTATATTACCTGGACAATCTAACAGATAAGGTATATTACATGAGCAATCCGACAGATCAAGGTATTTTCTTACTTTAAATTGTATTACCTAGGCAATCTGATTTATCAAGCTATTCACAAACATTAAATTTTATTATTTGGACATTTTGATAGATAAAGGAATAAAAATGAAAAAGATTATCTTAGTTTTGAAAAAAAATTAAATAAAAGCAAGTAATTTATTTTATCCAGTTTTGGACGAGTGGACAAAACAGGGTGGAGAGGCGTGGGAGCTATTAGAACCCGTGGACGGATTCCACTCTAATCAGGTAATGTACGGTTACTAGAATTAATTGACAGGTTGTAAGCACCACTATTAATAGGTAATCTGCAGTTACTAAAACTTTGGACGGTAATGTGCAGTTACTAAAACCTTTGGACAATATCAACTCAAGTACTAGTATATGTATTAGGAACTATACTGTACACGAATAGTACAGATTCTGTGGACGAAATGATAAATTCTACTCTCATGCAGTTATATTGTTTAGTAAATATTTTGTATTTATTTAGTGTATCATTTATTGTTACGCAGAACATGTCTGCTCTTCTGATATCAATATTTTGATTCTATTTTAACGAAGTTGTTCGGAGAAGCGTATATAAACCAAAAGAAACCATAAGCCCTACCTGGACCAAACTTGCATGGATGATGCATCTTCGACTTGCTTTAGATGCTGGATCTGATCTACGTTTTCCAGATGAGTGACAAGGTTGAAGTTTCTGAAGCAGATCATATTCCTTAGTTCATAAATATCCTACTCAGACCAAACTTTAAGTTTGGTATGGAACTTTGCCTTGCTTATAGATAACATTCTTTGAGGAGAGCATTGTAATCTTTAATAAAAAATAACGATTACCTAGTATGTTTTATTTATGTATTTATTTTTATTTAGCATGGACAGGCTCTCACGGCTAAGACTGTTTGGGAAAATTTGGAAAAAATGTATCCCGACGTCATAGGACCAGTAAATCCCAATAATTCCAGAATTAAATCTTTATTTGGGAACCAGGGAGGCTATCTGTGATGACTGCTGTAATGATCACAATAAAGAATGACTGGGTTGTGCAATGTTTCTTACATATCTTTTACCGTGCAAATGTATTTAATTGTAAATGAACATCTGTGTATCATTTTATCACAAAGTACTGTACATTTTCACTCAAAATAAAACAAGGAAGTCACTGAGTTGTTTATTTGTTTAAATTCTTTTGATGCAGTTTGAATGTAGGATTCCTGAACCCCCGGCTTTTACAAAAGAACTTACGACTAAAACCCAAATGTTACTTTGCAAATAACTTTCTATTTTGAATTAATTTGAAAATGTTCAAATCATTTTAAAGAAGAATTTAGGAAGATATTTTATGCAAACAATTTATAACAGAAATCAATGAGTTTGCAAGATTTTACTATTAACAAAGTTTTCAGTCTTAGTCGTAAGTTCTTTTGCAAATATAGTCAGTTCTATAGATCTGTGTTAATAATTTAATTCTCGTTGTAACGCGCCATCTGATTCAATGAAAAAAATACTTTATTTAATTAAGTAATGGATTTAACAGCTACCCATTTTATACGGTATAAACTGGGTTGGGACAGTTTACGCTTTATAAACCGCGAAGCATGCCGAGAAAACGCGTCGAACGCTGTGGTAAACACATTTACCTGGAATACGGTTATCGTTACAGGAGTGTGCATATGTCAAGAAAATTACATCCTATTTTACTTTTATTGAAATATGCATCACAAAAATAAAGTGCCCCTCTAGTACTTTGAGTCTGAATATTATGTTTACCAGAGTGGAAGTCGGGTGAAAATACGTATCAATTCAGAAATTCTCAAACCATTTTTAGTCCAGTGTAGAAAAAATGATTCAGTACATATATATTGATTTGGAAGTTTACGTGCAGATCAATATAGGGATTCTTTTTTTTCACTTGGATCTCAGAATATCAGAAAGCTAGTAATCATTCAACCATATGATAAATATTATTAAATATTTGCAAGTCTGAAATTGACACCCTCTCCCCTTTGGAAATGTACCAAAAGTCACTCAGTAATTTTGAAATTTCGGAATCATATACATACTTTAGGATTTCCCATTCCTTTTCAACTCAACTCTGGTCCAAGAAGACTAGTTTCTTTAATATTGTACACGTATCTTCCCAAATCCATAAGACTTTGCACAAAACGATAATTCAAAACTCACACATTGCTTCATCTTTATGTAAAGATTTATGCAAGATAAAAATAAGAAATGATATGAAAGGACAAAAAGCAGAAGAATTATAGTATTTCTCTACATGTAAGCAGATATACAGTCATATTTGAACAAGTCTTTCTGGCATCGTATGATATATTGATATACTCTTTGAGAGTAAAACAAATTTGAAAGTTCACCGAGAATTAATTTTCAAAAACAAGACCGCAATATTTTAGCTTTGCTGTAACTGATATTGATATGTTCTTCAGAGATCATTGCTACATTAGTTTACAATCATCATAAATGCTTTCCACAACATTCATCGACTTGACACAGTCATTATCTATATCCTTTACATTCGTTGACCTAGTCATCGTCGCTATCCTCTACATTCGTTGACTTAGTCGTCATCGCTATCCTCTCCATTCGTTGATTTGACAACCTTAATCCCCTCTACGCTTGCTTCAATGTCCACAATCTCTTTGGAGGTGAAGGTGGCGATAATTTCTCTTCCCCACCAGTAACGTCTGCGGGGGTGAAGGATGACCATCTCCTTGACCTCATCTCCGGGTTTGATAGGATTGCTTATTTAAATAACAAAGATAGCAATTTTATAGACTAATATATACACTTTAGTGCATGGCTGAGCTGCTCAAAATATGTTCTTCCATTTTAGCCATCACAAAACTCATACACAATAGATTCGTCAAAGAGAGAGAGAGAGATTTACACTGCAGTATTTTTTACAATCTCCGTTGTCTTTAATGAGCAGAAAGCCAAAAATTATGTTGACCAATCTCTGGAGACATGATTTAAAGTTACCTGATGGCGATTGTTTTAGGAGTGAGAAGACCAGATGTTACCTGATGGCGATTGTTTAAAGAGTGAGGAGATATCGGATGTTATCTGATGGCGATTGTTTAAGGAGTTAGAAGACCGGATGATACTTGAAGGCGATTGTTTAAGGAGTGAGGAAACCGGAAGTTAACTGATGGCAATTGTTTAAGGAGTGAGGAGACGGAATTTTACCTGGTGGCGATTGTTTTAGTAGTGAGGAAGCCGGATGTTACCTAATGGCGATTGTTTACGGAGTGAGGAAATCGCGGATTTTACCTGATGGAGATTATTTTAGGAGTGAGAAGACCGGAAGTTACCTGATGTCGATTGTTTTAGGAGTGAGAAGACAGGATGTTACCTGATGGCGATTGTATTAGGAGTGAGGAGACCGGATGCTTCTACTGCTATTTCCGCTTGCGTCAGAACGAGTTGTGTAGTGTTCTTGAATACAATAGTAGCCTCTGTATCTTCATAGACAGCTACTGTCTTTGGGACCTAATGAAAAGAAATCGTAAAAACGTGGTTTATTTGAAGAGAAATGATTGCAATCAATAGAAGTATTACAGATTACTGTATGGACACTGGACGAGTACCTGTATAACCAGTTCTGGCTTCTTCAGGACAAAAGTGATTTGTTTTGATTGTAGTCTACCAGTCTCCAAATTCTTCCCAGAAATAAATAACTGGAATCGTCCTTCTGGATTCATTCTGGGCTGATATTCTTTACCGTTCACTTGCATCCTAACTACCTTCTCTAAAAATTAAAAAAAAAATAATTGTACCAGACAAAGAAAACTATAGATAAAGTGTGCAATTTCAGATTTTTTGGCATTTTTTTTTTAAATCAACAAATCATAAAAAAACGTTATCCAGTTAATGGCAATCATTCATTCATTCTTTCTTCCAACATTTTGTTTCTCATACTTTTCAACAAAAACTTAAAACTTTGTATTTGATTTGGAATATACCATCTTTGTCTCCGATGCTTTCCTTGAACGTTTCAGTTTTAACCCGTGTCCCTGACACCCCAGTGTAATAAGCATTAACTAGGGTCAAGGTCAAACTAACTATGCGGGACTGCTTTGTCATGTTTTTGACAGCGACTTTTATTTCTAGGTCGTCCCCTATCATCGTTTCCTCTGGTGGCGTAATTGTGAAATCTAACTCCTTAGGCGTGTCCAGTTTGTAAATGTTCTGCTTCCTCCTCGTGCTGTATCTATTGACAAATTGGGCAACTCTCCTTTCTTCTTCACTTCCTGTTCATTCAAAATAAATTTATTTATAGGTAAATATTGAAATGAAATATTAAAAAGGAAATATTATCCCGTTTTCTTTTTTGCTATTTAAAAAATTATATATTATTGAAAGTGGAAGGCAGTTTTTCCATGCATCATTCCTTCCATCTGGATTTTTTCTGAGGGACTTGCTCACCTTCTGGGTATTTATACATGAGCGTCACATCCTCTCGGTAGGAGGATCCAACCTTTTTCGTGCTGATGAACGAACCCACGGCAAAACGGTTAATTTGACTTACTTCCATGGTACCATCTTTCTTGACCTACAATACAACATAAATATTTTAAATGCAAAAACCCAGAAAATACAACTAGAGGTACTGTGAGCAGGATTGCAAAATAATACTCTCTCCCTGATGAATTTTTTAAAAGCGCCTAGTTGCATTCTTTTTTATTTTGTGACCTTGAACTTGCCAGAATGACCTTGATTACAAAAAAAAAATAGACGCATTCTTAAATTATGACTTTGAACTTGCCAGAATGACCTTGATTACAAAAAAAAAAACACAGACACGTTATTTGGTCACATAACCTGGAGTCAAGGTTATGACACACCCTCAAGTCATAAACAAGCAAGCTTCAAATGATTCTACATTACAAAATTATTGCCCGGACTAGAATTGTATAGTTTTTTTGCCAGTGACCTTGAACTTGCCGGAATGACCTTGACCTAAGGTCAGGATTCATCCCAAGGTCATACACAATCTTTGAACCAAGTATGAGCCTCCAATTATTCTCCATTACAAAGCCCGGACAAGTTTTTTTTTCTGTCAATGACTTGAACTTGCCGGAATGACCCTGTGTCAAGGTAAAGACAAACCTTTGTACCAAGTATTAGCTTCCAATAATTCTTCATTTCAAAGTAGCTCGGGCAAGACAACCAGACAGAGGACAAGGTGATTCCTAGATACCTCCCACATTTCGTTTGCGGGGTGGAAGGGGTATACTTGTAATTAAATATTACCAAATATTGAAATGTTTGCAAACCTACCACCCACTGTACGCGATCTCCATTGACCTCAGCGTATATGAAAGGTATATCGTAGCAGAGGTACACATGTCCCTCTTTTATAGCCTTCAAAGGGGCGGGGCCACACCTCATCACTCCTGTGTACAGAGAATGTATGAATGAAAGCCGTGCAGTATATGAGCAATTTCTTTCACAGTAACAGTAATTACATTTCTGCCTAGAGTAAAAATACTTTATTTATTTTCTGACTGGTATATCTAACATCAAAAGTGAAGCCAAACCTTCGCTAGCCTCCTGGGGCGTTGCATCGTGTGCTTGCCATCCGTCATAACCCTCTGGTAAATCTAACCGTCGAAACCAAGACTCGTTCCATACGTGAAAGTTCCTTAGTTAACCAAAACATTTTTGAATTCTTTAATTTCTTTCTTACAATACTGAATATATTTTTCAACTGATCATTCTCTGAATAGACCACCTTACCAGACAGAATCATTCATATCTTCTATAGGCTCTCCATCTTCATCCCAGTGAGAGTCGATGGTCATGCTACTGTCTGTGTCATGCGCAGAATCAAAGTTTGTCACAGAACGTGTCGGAATCCCAAGACAGCGACAAACTATTAAAAGTAAACAATTCCAGTTTGACTATGCATTCTGTAAATGTTATTACAGTGTGATATAATGGTATAGGGACTTACTTGTTGTGGTGAGTCCGGAGAACACCCAGCATTGACCATACCGGACGGGCTTATTTCCGTTGGTGTGATACTCTCTAATGATCGGGACACTCCCAGTCCACTTCCACGGAACTGTACAGTCCTCGGGGTATTCCGATGTCCACCTACCCTCCAAAACACCATCACTGTCACAGGAATTACACTGAAAGAAACAGCATACCGTACTATTTTATTCTTATTAAGACAGTCCTAATATACGCCCAATGTTAATTACCGGTATATTTACCAGTGATGAGATGCATCTGATGACAGAGATTGGAGAAGTACAGGCCACGTCAGATAGTCCTCCATCCGACAGCAGCTGCAGAGCTACATCAAGCACCGGGTCATCAAACTACAAACAGAGGAAGAACTGCATTAGGAGCGCCATTCAAACCAAGGCGACCTTCTCGCGGGCACTTGGCATTTCATAAAAACACATCCATACTATATGGACAATCTTTTTATAAAAAGAAGTGTTTAAAATGTCAAGTCAATGACAGTGTCTCTACGAAGGCATGTATACTTGTGAAATGCAGGTAGCATGGAATACGTTTAAATGTTTCTAAATTTATAAATGCCAAAACCAAAGTTTCAAAACCTAGGAGTTTACAGAATGTATTTAATTTTTTTAGCAATACAGTTGGTTGAATTTAACAGTAAGTATTCTTTTAGACATTCTGAAAACAAAAGTTTTCTCAGAAAGGGAAGTTTGAATCTTTCAATGTCAAATCTTGCCTGTCCAAAATTCCATGGCCGTCCAAAATAACTTCTACTGGTCCAGATTCTGCCGGTCTCATTCAGTACGTACTCCTCTCTCTCCTCGTCCTTCTCCATGTACACAGTATCCTCTGTAAAGCAATGGAAACTATAGTAAGGATTGTACTAAATAGTCAAACAGGTATATTTCATCCCTCTCCCTTTGGGGTCTGAACCCTTTTGGTAGCTATCATGAAAATCAAAATTTACGTTGAGGGGCCTTTGTTTGTTATAATTTAGTAACTGTATACTCCCAGTACTCTGTTTGTCTCCTAGATGCTTGCAAGCTCGTGGTTATTGATTCTTAAAGACAGTCTGCTGACATATTTAGCAAAGTTTAATATTGTGTTCTACTGGAATGAACACCAGCTGATACCTTTCGCCCAAGCATTGAAGAGAATGATACACGGTTCCTTTTCTTCAAATCTTCTCAGGGATTCTTTGTTATCTTTCAGGTTTGTTTCCACGTAGAACTGGTATCTTCCAATGCTGCTGTCTGAGGCAGATGTTATCCCACACTCTATTACTTTTTCGGTAATACTCTGGACTTCGGCAAACCATGTTCCCGTGACGTCAGATGACCTGGTCGATGGTTTTAAATTCAGTGGTATTCTGATCACTGTCCCTTTGCTCTCCTGAGGGCGGGTTCCTGTGTGAAGGGGATATTTGTTCATCGATTTTGTTCGGTTTTGAATCTCTTAAAACACTAGACTTATACTATAAAAATGCTCAGTTTTATACTGTACATAAGTTGATATGTATCATCCCTTATGTTGACACTTACCGTAGGTAAACTGCAGAATTATGACGTCATGTTCAGGTTTGACCTCCCTATCAAAGATCACACGGATCACAAACACCTGTCCACGGCGTAAGATGTTGCCAGTCTTCTCAAACTCGTGTGTGTGATGGTTCTTTCTGTTCAGCTTTGTTTGATAATCAACAAAGGTAACCTTTAGGGCTCCAGAGGCTGAAAAAGATATTCACAGATAACCGACAATCTTCTCAGTAAATCAATCAGATATTTGGTTTCTTGTGATAATAGGAGCATCCCCTAATTTTGTGCTGATTTAAAAAAAAAAATCCTATGATAAAGAATCAGAATTATTCAAACCGTGATAAATACATATTATACATCATTATGAATTCGTCACAGTGTGAACAATTCTGATTCTAAAAAAAATATTTATATGTTTATCATGTAATACACTAATCGTCATATCTTTATTATCCCTACCTATAATACATAGTGGATTACAAGCATTTTGGAATTTACAATGTAGTGTGTCCATACATATCCATGAGGTTGAATGTCCATTGATTGGATTTGGAGTGTGATTGGGCCAAAGTGGGTGAAGCTTAGAGTGGTATGATAAGGAGGCCCCTTTAGGGTTGAGAGTGTGTGAGTGGATAAACTGTTTTACTAGTTTAATATTAGGTATTCAAACTAACTCACTCTACTTGGACAGAAAGGAGAAAGGATATTATGACATACAGTAACTCATATTAACCTAACGGGGACAGTATGATTGTAAAAGTTATTTACTTATTTAGTAAAAGAATGAATACGTCATTAATTGAATTCTTTTCCCTTTTTGCCACAAGCATGACATTCAACAGATATTTGCTTGCCGGCTATTCTGATCAGTTTTAGAAGTACCAGGTGGCTTCATATAAAATTGGTACATGTATCTTGATTATCAGTTTTTAAGAAGTGGCGGTTTATGTATATTTGTATAACTCCTGGACAGTCCTGGTGTATCTTCAGAACAAATGTCTCACTCAGGGCTACACTTATGTCCCTATTAAATAATCCGAAGGTTTAAGGTCAAGGTCATAGAGAAAATTAAAATAACCATTTTTTTTCACAGTAGCCAAGTAAAGGAAGTGTCGTTGTCATGTCACATGATATCGCTAAAATGTACGCAACAAATGCATTTAACTTCATCGCAGTCAGTGTATTACTAAAGAAAATAAGGACAATTATTATTTGTTGCAACCACTATTGAAATAACGACCACTATTGAAATAATTATTTCAATAGTGGTTGAAAGTGCATTTCAAAACAAAACACAGGTTACAACCACTAATGAAATAACGTTCACTATTGAAACAATGATTTCAATAGAGGATTTGAATGGATTTCAAAACTAAAACCAGGTTGCTACCACTACTGAAATAATTATTTCGATAGTGAACTTTAGTTCAATGCACTCTCAGTCTCTCAACCACTATTGAAATAATTATTTCAATAATGGTCGTTATTTTAATAGTGGTTGTAATAATGCATAGAATAATTAATGGTTCTGCACCTGATTATTTGTATGAATTGATTCAACCTTTTTTCCCAGTTCAACATACATACAACCTAAGGTCTGGATATGATAATTTGCGTATACCAATTTGTAAAATAATGTCTTACTATAATAGTTTTATTCCCTCAATATAAAACTTTGGAACAGTCTTAGTGAGGATATCAAAAACTCTTCATCATTATCTATCTTTAAATCAAAGCTTAAAAGTTGGGAAGGAACTTACAAACCATGTAGATACTTTAACTTTGGTAATAGAAAAGAAAATATCTTACATTGTCAGTTGCGAAACAATGCCAGCAATCTAAATGCCCATTTAAAAAGTAATTTTGTTATCAGATGTTCAATTATGTGAAAAGTGTGGCTTTTATACTGAGGATACTGAACATTATCTTATCAAATGTCCTTCATATACTGTTGAAAGAAATTTACTGGTAAAAAAATCAAATGATATTGATGTTATTATAATTTTTTATCTTGACACTTCGTTAAGAGGAAAATGTCAATATTCCTATCATAAGAACTGTGAAATTTTTTCATATGTACATGAATTTATTAAATCTACTAAGAGACTAAACTAAGTATATTGTAATATTAAATATTATATTAAATGTACAGTATTTACAATACATATCTCAAAGCTGGAATATTATTATCACGTACAAGTATTATAATTATTATTGTCTTTACCTTATATTTTAGAACTGTCAGCAAGAAAAAAATATGAAAAATCTGTTAACATTGTAAAAATAGCAGCGACGATAGCGAGGGAAACGCGGCGAAGACGAAGAAAGTCGCCATCACAATACAATTTGATTTGTCATCTTATCACATGTATAAACTTATTCGATTCACACATTTAATATTATATAACTTTGTTATTCTTCGTTTTTAGCATAACATTAATTTACATATGTTTTGTAAAGGATGGCGGTCTTGCAAAATAATTTTCCGATCACGAAACATTGCCGTAATCAGAGCAACAGATTCTAAATGTTTGGAATAAAAAACGAAAATATCTCAAAAGCCTTATACCTTAGAACCAGTAAATGTTTCTATAGTTAATAAAAAGCATGTTAGGAATTTTTTTCAGCATTTTTTGTAATTAAGCTGCATTTGTCGTTGATAACTCCGTAAATAGTGTGCATACTCTCACACTGAATTGTCGCCTATGACGTCAGAGCAGTATTTCGCCGAAATCCGACTGAAACATGCATATTGCCGTATTTGAATTTCAACTCTCAATATCTCTTAAAATATGCTTTCATCAACGTTTTTTGTATTCAGTATTTTAATAAACAAGGTTGTAGATAATATTTTTCATAAAATTACGATTTTTGAAAGATCATGCGATAAGTCCTTTAACCTATTACACAAGGAGAGGGTATGTATAGGCTTTGCCTGTTTCCCGATCCTTATTGATTTATTCAATAAAATATTCTAAATTAATAATGCATGCATCTACTATTGAAACAACGACCACTACTGAAAAAATTATTTCAATAGTGGATATCATTTCCATAGCAGTTTTATAAGTGTAACCTCGAGCTCTATTGATAAAACAACCTCTATTGTTATAACGCTTATAAATACTAAGTTTCCCCGAAAGGTTGTTTTTAATGTCTTGATGAGTACGTAGAAACGTTGGATTTACTATCCATATTTGTAGTATAGGCAAGCCCATGATTGATTAAAAATAACAATATTTTCATCAGAAAGGTTGTACATATAGATACCAGTCTTCTTTCTTCTTTTAAATTGTTACCTATTGTCAATTTTCTACAAGACCGTTTCTAAGACTTCAAAGAACCTTGAGTCATACTGGGATGCATAAAATGAAAATTGTTGCACAAAAAGATTTCAATTACAAGCTTAATTTTGAGCCTTTTTAAATTAAAGAATAATTTTTAGAGTTATCCTTCCTCGCTGAGGATTGGATTTTCTTAAATCAAAAATGTCCATGTATTAATAGTAATTTCTAGAAAAGAAAGTAAAACATGAAATTACATATCATATTTTAAACTCAATAAATTACTTAATTATGTTGGAAAACATAATGGACAATTAATCCTTATATTTTTTTTCAATAGTTTGGTTATTTCAATAAGGCTTGCAATGTGGTTTTGGTAATGGAATCCTTATCAGCAACTTTTAAAGTAATCATTTTAATCACTATTGAAATCATTACTTCAATTACTATTGAAATCTTTATTTCAATAGTGAACGTTTTTTCAATAGTGGTTGCAACCTCTGTTTGGTTTTGAAATGCACTTTCAACTAGTCACTATTATTATTTCAATAGTGAACGTTATTTCAATATTGGTTGCAACAACGCAATTATACCAAACAATAATTTCCTATAGGAAAAATTCTGAAGCCAAAAAATATTCTATATGGTTTTACAAAAAGAAGAGAATGCGTGTGCAGTTTCTGCTTGGGGAGGGGGTGGGGTTGAACTCAAAGACCTTGTCTTGGTCTATCAAATTTTGTGAATGAGACTTACAGGCTAACCAACCAAAGCCATGCAATCCACAGTAAGTTACTGACTTTTAAAACTCTACGTATGATATGACGCTGAGTAAGTGGACTTGAAATATTTTCACAAAGGACATAAATGATAGGTCATAAAATGTCCACTGGGTCCTTTCTTCATGTTTTTGATAACCGAGAAATCTATATGTTTACTCCGACTCGGAAGGTATACTTTTGATAAAATGGAGAACCACCCGTTTGGAAATATATGTTATAGTATGCTTTCTTTGATAATTTCATGCCATTTCCAATATTTATGACATCTTAGCATCTTGTAAGGACTTTGCAACAAGTATATACCGGTATACATTACATATATATTTGTGATATATCAAGATAAATCCTTATATGTATATCCTGATGGGTATACTACTATACGTATTCATGCTTAAAAACCACAAAGTCAAGGTGCGTCACGTACTGGGGAAAGTTTGTCGGTTCAAGGACATCAGTTCTATATACTCACATACATATGTCTGTCGGTTTAAGGACATCCGTTCTATAAACTCACGTTTGTCTGTCTGTTTAAGGACTTCAGTTCGTTTGTCTGTCGGTTAAAGGACATCAGTTTTATCTACTCACGTTTGTCTGTCGGTTTAAGGATCGTACTCCTGGACCTCAGTTCCTCATCAGATAGGGTATTTATCCTCCCCTCTTCCTGCTCTCCCAGAGCTTTCCTAGCTCGGCTCCTGTCCATAATTAAATGACGAACACTTTAATACCACATAGTCCCTTCTCTTCCTCATGTGATGTTTGTTGTTTATAACATAGAGTGCATAGAATGTTCTTCTTTGTTGCTTATTTAAAATAAATTTGTTTTTGTGAAAAACTTATGTCACAGTGCAACATGATACCCGGTGTTACGTGTGTGTATAACAGCCATTATATATAAATCTTCCGGAGATGTAACAGGTTATTGTTTATAAATGTGATGATCAGTTTATTTGAGAAGGATTATAAAGAAGTTAATTCAAATGATTAAGGAGTGTGGAAAGCTTGTCCCATTTAAATTTACAATTTCTTAATCCTTGACCCAAAATAACCACTAGGTACATTTAAAAGCCTACATTTTAGACACCATTTTACTATCCCTTAACCGATTTCCAACAGATGTATTTTTAAAGGAGGTATATTTATGTCGGCAGTTCCGATTGATATCATAATGGCAACTCTTTAGAAAATTTCTTACATTTAACATAATAGATTCCTAACATAATTTCTTAAAAGGTTTTCAAAATATATTAATTTTACACATACAGTCGTAACCCCCCCCCCCCCCCCCCCAATGGCGAGGCCTTGAGTCCCTGACAGAAGTAAGGCGTGCGGAATTTAACAGTAAAAGAAATAAAGACCATGCATAAACTTCCTTGGTTTGTTTTCAACGAGAGGAGGAATGTGACTTATAATTAACTCACTCGCAGTGGTTTTTAACCTATGAATTCAATGCATGCAAATGGGCAATGGAAGACACGTAAAACATCTATAGATTGTGTAACAGGCACTAATTAAGCATTTAAAGAACTTTTTGTCGGATAAAATTCCATGATGAAAGCTTACTAGCAAACAGTCTGCAGAAATGCAAAAATGGTAAGGAGAAAATACTGTCAAACACATGTATATTTTTTCATTGTGACTGATATCATATTAACAGATTTAAGATCTATAAACGTTGAAATATTAATCAAGCATGTAAAATACATTAATGCCAATATTTTCCGGAAAAGTAAAGAACAAAAACTCTTAGAATAAACTTAGTGCCTAAAAATCATAAATCCTATGAGGAACTTAACTCGTTTTCCACAACTTTTCAAGACCAGTGGAAGTTCTTCCATGGCCTGTATGAAGCAGGCAGGATTTTATTGTGACATACCTTTTGGTGACTTCGGTATCGTCATCTATGGATCTGAAAGCGAGGCTTCGGACCCCGGAGAACAGAGCAGATAACACGCCCCACATGTTGACAGTGCCAACTACTGAATATACTGAAGAAGTTCGGATATTAAAGATCAACCGGTTCTGTTAAATGGAACTCAACATTTACTTTATTTATAACTTGTGGCGATATTTAAGTTAATCCCGTGTCGAAATATTGAGAAATATTAGAAGACGGCCAAATGTCGCACTCCAATCAATTTTGTGCATCGCATTTGAAAGAAATGCAGTACGTTATTATATGAATCTGAAAAACCCGTCTGCACCTTACAAAATCGTGCTGTTGTAATTGTTGTGTAATTGTTATCAGTGAGAATGGTATACATCCAGTGTATGACAGATTTTATAATAGGAAAGGCATGTCAGTATCGGATATTGCAGAAAACAGAATAGCGAATGCCAGAATGGAGATAATTTGAGCTAAAAAGCTGTTATTCCTATATAGGAGCTAGATTAAATGGCTTTGGAATTATGTATTACTGCAAGTAATTCTTTTCTTCTACTTTTTCGTGGTAAAGAAAGAAATGTAAGCAGTGTCAAAAATTTGAGTAGCGTGATTTAAGATATCATACAAATCTTTCAGAATCATCAATTTAAAAAGAAAATGGAAAGGAAAAAACAGACTTCAAGGCTCTCCTATAAATGAGAGAGAGAAAGAGAGAGAGATTTCTTGTAAAACCTACTCTGTTTAGCGAATGTTATATTTTTCCTTCATATTTCATACTCTAATCGATACACAATACTCTAACTTAACCTACAATATATATCAGCTGTATATAGTCAATACAGTTTGTATGTAAACTTACATTTCATCTAATTAAACCAACAACAGCTACTAGACAGGAGTAAATCCTTATATAATCTGATACAGATGAGGATTAAGTCTGTATAATTCATGTATACATAGCATCCGACTTTACTTGACAAACTACTATATGTTTATGTTATTGTATCAGGAGGCGGAACTGTTTTGGGTGATATGAAAATCTCAAACGTTTCGCCTTTCAGTGAAGCTATATGTTTGTAAATATGGAACAGACCTGTATATTTTTCAATAAGTTTTAAATCACAAGAATCAAAAAAGATTTCTTTTTCAAAGATCAAATAAAATTTATCTCATGATTTATAAAACAAATCATATTTTAAGGATCCATGAATCAATCGGTATATATTCTGAGAGTATTCCTGTCCTCTTACTTCCGGTCCCAGTAAATCCTCACAACGCATACACATTTATGTCATAGATACAATACTGAGACCTATGAAAGTGAGAATTTTAATAATTCACGATGTAGAAGCACTGAAGATTAGTAATAAAACTACAAGGTGAAGGATGAAATTAATATCCTCATTAAATACATGTACATCCAGAATTTAGTTAAAGCATAATAACCAGGAAAATGTCTATGAAATTTAATGAAAAATGTCCTGTTCTTTCTATTTTTTTATGCAACCATTTAAATAAAATACATGAAAATTCAAGCAGACCAGACGATTTTTAAACCCAATATTTAATTTTTTAAAAAAATATTTACATAATAAAAAAAAAAAAAAAACAACTGACCACACTTCCCAGTATGCTTCGGTTAATAATAGTTCCACAAAACAAAATGCATTTGTGAAACACTGATGCCCCCGTATGGAAGCTCGAGGCCAAGGTTTAAATTTTTCAAATATAGGCCATACTCTAAGGTCAAGGGTAAAAAATGTTGGTAGAAAAAGAAAGGTCTTGTCACAAGGAATACAGATGTAAAATATGAAAGCCTCAGCACCAACCATTTAGGAAATTTGGCCAAAGTTAATGTTTAACAAAAGTAGGTCATACTTCAAGGTCAAGGTCTTGAGGTCAAAAATATTGGTACCCAAAGAAAGGTCTGGCCACAAGGAATACAAGTGAAATATAGAAGCCCTAACAGCAACCGTTCATATGTTATGACCAAGGTTAAAGTTTTTCTAAAGTAGGTCAAGCTCCAAGGTCAAGGTAAAAAATATTGATACCCCCCAAAAAAGGTCTGGTCACAAGGAATAAAGATGTGAAATATGAAGCCTTAGCACCAACTGTTCAATAGTTATAGGCAAGGTTAAAGTTTTTTTTAATGTAGATCATACTGCAAGGAGATCAAAAACATTAGTACCCAAAGAAAGGTCTGGTCACAAAGATAAGAAAGCCCTGGAGCAAAAGTTTAAAAGTTATGGCCAGGGTTAAAGTTTTTCAAAAGTAGGTCAAACTCCAAAGTAAAACATGTTGGTACCCAAAGTAAAGTCTGGTCAAATGGAATATACACGTGAAATAAAAGAGTCCTGTCACCAACAGTTCAAACGTTATGGCCAAGGTTAAAGTTTGGTAAAATTTTGCAAAAGTGGGTCAAACTCCAAGGTCAAGGTTAAGAGGTCAAATATCTTGGTACCAGAAGATGTGAAATATGAAAGTCCTATCACCAAATTTAATGTTCAAAGTTATGGACAAGGTTAAAGTTTTTGATCTTTTTGATGAAAATTGATCAACATCTCTGCTATGAACAGTAGTGAACTAAAAATTGATCTACAAATCTGCTATGAACAGCATTAACCAAAAATTGATCTACAACTCTGCTATGAACAACATTTACCAAAAATTGATCTAAAACTCTGCTTTGAACAGCATTGTACCAAAAATTGATCTACAACACTGCTATGAACAGCATTTACCAAAAATTGATCTACAACACTGCTATGAACAGCAGAATGAACACTAAAAATTGATCTCAATTCTGCTATGAACAGCATTGTACCAAAACCTGATCTATAACTCTGCTAAGAACAGCATTGTACCAAAATTGATCTACAACTCTGCTATGAACAGTATTGTACCAAAAATTGATCTACAACTCTGCTATATCTATGAACAGCATTGTACCAAAAATTGATCTACAACACTGCTATGAACAGCAGAATGAACACCAAAATCGATCTACAACACTGCTATAAATAGTAAATCCCTCATATAATCTAGAGGATACCATCCCTAATCTTCTCATACATGTACATGTTATTCTTCCGGCGGGAGACAAAATCTCTCGATATTTCAATCCCCTTCCGCCCCTCCCGATTAGTTTTTAAATCTTCCGTGTTTTGAAAAACTTCATATTAAATATTATTTGACTTAATTGTTATCACGTTTCATATAATTACTCGGTGTGAAAAGAACATATATGATTTGGTGTTAAAAAAAAACAAACTATGTTTTACTTTAAATTCTAACTAGTTGATATGTCAGTACCAAATCAGGACCAAATTTTATTCTATTTTATTAGTGCTGTTATTTCTTAATTTAAAGACCTTGATTATATATTGAATACCAAATTTCACTTCAGTTGATGGAAAAGCTTTATTATATATTTTTTAAACCAGAAAACAATTTCTTAAGGCAATATTTTTAAAGTATTAAACTGTAAGAGGGTAAAGTGTTCCAATTCTTCAAAACCTTTCTTTGACACTGATAACATAGAGGTTTTAAGGTGATTTTTCCTAAGGTTAGCAAGGCTAGGGAGTATAGGATAGTCTTTTCGATTTGAAAAAAATATGTCGATAAAAAATCCCCCGTTTTTAGAATAAACTCCAGCTGAAAAATCATAGCAGAGTTGTAGATCAATTTTTGTTTGGAAGAAATTTAAGGCTCTCTCTGAGTCTCTCTCCTGCTTTCTTGTAATATACAATGTAGCAGTGTAAATTCATCGGGCCTAAAGGACACAAAATTTTAGCTAAAAATAAATGAACCCTCAAAATAATCAAACCCCCTACCTTAAGTTGTATCTATGCCTTTTGGGGGGATTTTCAACGCCCTCATCGCTTTCTCTGCCTCTTCGTGGCATGTTTACTGTAAAGAAATATAAATACCAATCATGAAGCGCGGGAAAGCACCCTGACCATTTAAACCTTGACAAAAGGCCTACTTAAATGTTTAATCTTTTGTAAAAATACCGGAAAAAAAATCTGGGTAGAATACAGATTTTTATCACTGATGCAAAACCATGTCATATATCCGTAGCATTATTCATGAACAAAAGTGCTACCCCGTGAGAAAGAGGTGGTGTTTTCCTCTGATAAATAATTTCTATCAAATAATTTATATAATTTATTCACTGTACATCGTTTACGATTGCCGATTATAAACAGCGGATACTTGTTCTGATCTTACTTAGCCTTATGTCAGTGGTTTATGTAAGCGTACCGGATTAGTCAGGTGGATTTAAAGATCATCACAACACAAGGTTCTTAACTAAAGAAATAATCATGATAATGTCAATTAGAGAGAAAAAAAAAGAACTGAAACATTTTTCTTTTACTTAAAATCAAGAACATAACTTCTGTATTAATGGCATTAAAACATGAATGAAAGTTAACTCACGGACAGAAAGCGACCTCGAAACACCAGCTCTCAGTATTTTGGTTACAGCAGTAGGTAAACAGATCACGATGGTGTGAACAAGATACCATGATTAACAGAATTCATGTTTGTGTAGCGCCTTTGGGGAGGGTTACGGTATAATTCTCAATGCTTATATTGTTCTGTATCAATAGACAGCTCATGGAAATACTTGAGAATCCTTAACAACCTTTTCACAAAAATTACACTCTTTTTTGTGTCGCCTGCAGAGCAGAGCGGCACTAAGGGATCACGTTACCTGGCGTCTGTCTAGCTGTCCTTCTGTCTGTCTAGCTGTCCGTCTGTCACATCCCATATCTCAAGAACTGTAAGAGGTATGGATTTGATATTTTGCACATATATATTGCTTGGCACTAAGACTTTTGTTAATTACCATGGTTACTGACCTCGTGACCTTTGACCTACTTTTCAATATAGCTCATATAGTGTCAATATACAGCATATTTTTGACATTTAAGAGGTAGGTCTATGCTATTTAGCATGTGCACTGTTTGTCATAAGAAAATATGCAAAAATACCAGCATTACAATCCACTTGACCTTGATCTTTGACCTACTTTGCAAAAAAAATCACGGGCAGTTAAATTAAACTTATGACTTTTGAATTTTGAGAG